AACTAGGAAACTAAATCTTCCTAAAAATTGTTCCTATGATTGAGGGATTGTCTATCATTATCCTTAATTTTAGGGATACAAACACTTAATTCTAGAGATACAAAAATAAATATACAGATTACAAGATTACAACCAACTGTAAATAAGTGTTTTCCCACAGTTACCACTGTCACTGCTAAGTCTCCACTGTTGTCACTGTGCTATTATGTTACTCTTAACACTTACTCTAGTTATTTTGCAATGATTTTGTCAAACCACAAAGCAATGGCTGGATTTAATCTATTCATTTTATCAACAAATAATTCATGCTGTTTTATTCAACGAGTTTTCGTGTTTGGCTATAAAACATTCTTCTGGAAATAAGTAAACTGTGTTTTGTGTGCAAAGAGAAGTGACCATTTTGTTGGTTAAGCTCAAAGAGTAGAAACAAATGCATAAACTCACTCATGCCCTTCATATTCATTTGAATTTTAGAATAGTCGGATATTTCTAGCAGTTTGTTTGATTATGTCGGGTTGGTGTGATTCCTTTGTCCGACTTAAATATTGTTGTTCTTTCTTGTAATCTAGCTTTTAAAAATGTTCCCACCACTTAATTTAACAAAAAATTATGATTAGGAGATTGCAGTCCTGTTTGAGAACAGCTAGTTACTGTTTTTGTATCAAAATAGAGGGTAAACATGCTTGCAAATGTCAGAGGAGTTTTGTTTGAATGAAGAATGCATAACGAATGACTAGATAAGCAAGTGGGTGACAGCAAGCTGGTTCATGCACGCATGATGGTTAAAAGGGTGTCAAAACTCAAAATTGTCTTAGTAGTGTTTTTGATTTAGTCTAACGGCTTTTTATTGAAACATTAAAATTTGGCTGTAGATTTAATTAAGTTCTGGATATGACCTATATTCCTTGAGTCTAATTTGTCCCCTAAATTTTTTTTAGTACTTTAGTTTGGCTCGCCCATTATTTTGCTTGACAATATTATTTTTAATGAATAACAACGTCTGTAGCAGAAAATTAGTTAACTTTTTTTAGGTCTTCCTTCTCATGATCACTTAAACTTATCTATCGTTTACTCCTGTTCCAACTGAACTTCTTTTTATAGATGGCAAATGTATAGTTAGCTTGTAACTTGAGAAACTCTATAAGTAGCCTTGAAAAATAAGAATGATGTTTGAACTTGGAGTTTGTCTCTGTGTCACAATGGAAAGTCAAAATTAAAAAATTTTCTACTTTTGTAAGTGTACATCTTAGAATATCCCAAAAGTAAAAGGCAGTGGAAATGGGGTGTAGCGATCATGTTTTTAATGAGTAACCTCTAAAATTTGGATACGCATGGTTAGTTGCAGAAACTAGCAATAAAATTTTCTCATATGTCAATGTCCAAAATGTTTAATGGTTTCTTCAAATGCCTTTCAGTTGTAAGTCGTGGTGGGTCTGATGGAATTTTGGGACATAGGAATTGATTATTGGTTGCGTTATGATCCCTGTCGATATCCCCATCAATGCTATGTGTACTTTAATTTGCTTTCAGAGTTGGTTGTTTTTTGCTCATAATTTACCCTTCTTCCATAAATTATCTATTTCAATGTTCTGTTACATATGCAACAAAAATAATGTACCTTCAAGCGAATGGAACAATTTTCTTTCATTTAAATTATGTTTTCCTTGCGTATTCTTCTTCCTTCATAAATTTCCATTTTTCTTATGTGTGTAGAATTTATTTATCCTTTTCTTTTAGCATCTTTGGATTCCACAGCTTAATCAGGACATGCAAATGGGGGTGATTGGCAAGAAGAGGTCTATCAAAAGGTAAAAACTATCTTGACTTATTCTCCTATAGATATTATTACAGTTTCAACTTGGTTTTAAGAAGGTTTTAGGTGTAGGAAAGTGGTTCTGAAAAAGAATATTAGAGTATGTTGGGATGCATCTCATAGCAGGAACCATAAAACTGAAGAAGTAGGAACTTAAAACAAATTTGGTAAAAGAAATTCAGACATTTTCTGAATTACTTACTACTTTGTTAATAAGAACTTGAATTCTTTTGGCTTGTTCTTAGAAGAAAGAAAATAAAGTTTATTTAAATCCTTCAGCTCTCTACTAAAGATCTATTAAAATTGGTGAGCAAGAAGCCTTAGACCAAGGGTATCTTGCATACTTGACTTCAAAGTAATCATCATTTATCGACACCTTTGTTTCTTTTGTTATTAACTAATATCAGCGCCTGCTAGTCAGAAAATGGAAAAATCTTATTATTTTTCTAATAAATCATGACACTGGGATAAATTGAGTGGTTTAATCGTTGGTTAAGCATTTTGATCCTGATTTTATGTTGCAGATCAAGGCCATGAAAGAGACATACTTACCTGAATTAAATGAGATGTACCAAAAAATTGCTGCCAAGTTGCGGCAGGTATGTTTATTCTTTTACATAATCATATATATTCATTCCCTAACCTCCAAGGAGTGATAGAACCCATCTGCCCCATAGTCTGCCACCCTGTGTCTCTAAATAGAATTTAGAGAGGACTTTACTGCTCCACATTAGAAAGCTGTTGAACCCATACCACTTTTAGGTTGCTACTTGAATCCCCTTACCATAGACACTGTTTAGTGGTTGCACTTATGCATATCTGTTGTAATAGTGGTTTGTAGTTTTACTTGCATCAGTTGAAACAATTTTATGTGTACGATTTTCCAGCATGATTCTCTTCCACAGTAGCCAAAGTCAGAGCAGCTTGAAAAGTTAAAAATGTTCAAGATCTTGTTGGAGCACATTATATCTTTCTTATCAGTTCCCAAAGCCAGTATCTTACCAACTTTCAAGGATAAGTTGAGTTTGAATGAGAAGCAGATAGTAAATTTTTTAAATACCAGTAGGCCAAGGAAGGCAGTCTCAGCACGGCAGCAAGGACAGCTTCCTCAATGATATGCATTCCATGCCGCAACCACAACCTCAAATTAATCAGACACAGTCTCATGATAATCAAATGAACCATCAGTTGCTGTCAACGAATTTACAAGGTTTTGTTCCAACAATGCAGCGGAACAACATGACAAGTTTGCAGTATAATTCTGTGTCTTCCTTACCTGGGGTTGCAACAGCGCAGCAGACCATGTTAAATTCCCTGCAGCCAAGTTCCAATTTGGATGCGGGACAAGGTAATGGCCTAGGCTCAATGCATTCTCAGAAGCCTTGGTAGCATTCTCAGAAGCCAACTAACAATTAATTCTTTAGTGAATAGCAATTGGTTGAGTATTAGCATTGCTTTCCACTGATGTGCTGGTCTAGTGGTGAAAGTAGTGGTGTTTTAGTGAGTTACAGTCCTCCTTAGGTGCATGACCAATGGCCTAGGACAGAGAGAAAAATCGGAATCTTAAGAGCCTTGTGAAGAAGGGTTTCCTAGTATTAGTATTAAATCAACCAAATTGACATCCAATTGTAAAGTTGTGGTTTACATAGCAAACCATCATGTTCAACTTAAGTCATGGTTGTAGGGTGTCTGTGAGTGTCTAGTAACATGTCTTGTCATTTTGTAAGAGTGCGGCAAATGATGTATACTGTCCACTTTATCTTACAACATTAACAAAAATGAAATCCTGCTCTTATGTATAAATTTGTGGTTGCAAAAACTGTGTTTTACCCCGAGTTTCTTATCAAGAGAAGGGGGTTGTTTACTGAAAAGAGCTTTGTCAAATGTTTTGCATATTTGAGAAGTGATTTGTGTCCAAACTTACAAGTTTTTCTTTTTCACTTCCTTTAATATATGACAAAAAATTTGATGTGAATTGTTTGTGACTTTTCTTTTCTCTTTTGATGTTGTCAGAATTTGATGGATACCAATAACTGGAGGCCTACTCCTGCCAGTGGAGAGCCCACCATGGATACAGGTGATTGGAGAACCCAGTTGCAGCCTGATTCACGACAAAGAATTGTCAACAAGATGTAAGTGAATTTTATGGTATTATTATTTGTTAAATATACTTGTTGTATTTAAGTTACTGATATTCTGTGGCATGTCTTTTACAGTTTCAATATTGTTAATAACCAAACAATACCATCAATAAAACCATATATCCTATTCTAGAGCGCATTCTTTGTTTTGTAAATACATAGCTCGAAAATCAAAGCTTGCTCTTACCCAGAGTTTGGGCACAATATATGGATCACGTATCTGGAAGCCTGATGTGGCAAAGCTATTGGGTCCAATTCTGTGTGGCGTACTTGGTATCGACATTTAATGAATTTATGTGATTGAATGAGGATAAATTTTACTTTTAGATCTTTTGCTTCTTGGAAGCTTGGGACTTGTTTTCTCATTCGAGTGCTACAGTATATGAATTGATGGTTCTCTTTTCCTCTTACTAACTCAATTATACCCATTCATTAAATAACTTATAGCTGTAACGGACACTAGTGGTCTTGCTTTTCTATATCATTTTATGAACGATGGTAATTTTGGTATGTGGTCTATTTGAATGTAGCTGATATCTGAAGGTCATGATGGCCACTTTGTTTATTTGGGAGAACTTTGTTAAATTCCAATGCCATGGCTTCTGGATATTTGAATGAGTCGGTCCTGAACAAGTTAATGAGGAAAATCTTTTGGTGGTCAGATTATATCCTGGTTGATTTTCATTTGATTTTATGTTAACTTCACAATTTGGTCATGGCATTGTTTTATTAACCATGGAAGATTCTTATATATATCCTATTGGTTTGTCGATACCTTACACAATGCCTTGTGTGCATAGAATGGACACATTGAAGAGGCACCTCCATTTTCTGGGCCAAGAGGGTTTAAATGACTCAGGAAAAATCGCAGTAAAGGTTTTTCGAAGGAAAAGATTTTTTACAGCAGCAAACAGCCAGGTAATCATAGAATATTGGCATTCTTAACCTGCTTGGATTGCCATTGTTGTTTACCTATATTTTGTTTGTTTCGCGTTGTGTGTATGTATCTTTGTGTTTCTTTTTTTTCTTATTTAATATGTATACGAATGCATACACCTAGACTCCTTGTCATTACATTGGAAGTAAAATAAGAAAAGAAATCCAGGGAGTGAAAGGAGAGCAGAGGTAGGAAAAACAAAGATGCCTAAATGGATATTAAGCATGGTTAATATAACATATTTGGACAATCTTGTCTTGTATTTGAATAATGAAGTAAAGCTTGTTTACTCTAATGCTGTAGATGGATTTCTATATTCAGTCTGATTATCTAAGGAGAATATCCTTGAAGATGCTTACTATGGAGAAACAGTCTGAGAATACCATACCCAACACTGGGAATAACAGCAAGGCCCCTGATCCAGGTAATTGCAGGAAACAGCATTTTGCTTTGATGTAATCTAGAAGGAGGACATTTTCCATTTACATGTCCTTTCTGTTCTTTAACATGAAGAGTTGTTTAACTTGCAACATTTATGCACATATTCTTTCTGCAGCTATTTGAATGAAAATTACCTATATTTTAACTCTTTTGTCCCCTTAACAAAGCGTGGTTGTTTTGGTGGGTTGGAGTTGTTTAAGGGATAGATTTGATAAGCACCCAAATAGAAAGCCCCATTTGCTGTTCCCATGATTGAAGTCCTTCAGCATGGGATGCACCTCTTCATGTGCTAGGCCTAGGAATAATTTTATTATTTTTTTCATGATCCTCATGGTATGGTTCAATTGCCCTCACAGGTTTTAAGTCTAGTCATCTTTTTGAATGAATTAATTACTGCTTCAGTATTTTTGTTGTTTATCTTGTTCTAAATGTTCTTCAATTCAGTTCTTGTGGGTTCTTCCCAACTTTTCTTTCTGAATATAAGAATCTTGGGTAGGTTCTGAGGGCATGCAAAACCAAGTTCACAGTCAAGGGCAATCAATTCCTATCCCATTACAAAGTAATCAGTCTCAAGCACATCAACAACTGTTACCCCAGAGTGTTCCAAATAACATGTCATCTGCTGGAGTTCAAAGTTCTACTGGTTTACAATCTGGGATGCCTTCTGTGTCTGGTCCAACCCAGAATTCTATACCTAATGTTGTTGGCCAGAATTCCAACATGCAAAACTTGTCTGAAATTTCACAGAACTCACTGGGGCAAGGGATATCTTCCAATATTTGTACTAATCATCAGAGGCAAATGCAAGGAAGGCAACAGGTGCTACCGCAACAGCAGCAGCACCTTTGCTTGCAGGGTTCGAAATTACCTGCACCTGACACACCTGGTAATGGTATGTCAACATCACCTTTGCTTGCAGGGTTCGAAAATGCTAATGATACTCACAGTAATGCTTTAACAACTGATTTTGGCGAGTCGAAGGATACAGAAGAGCCACATGTTCCCAGAGTTACCATGGTTAGTGGAGCTTAATTAATTTTCATTCTTCGCATGCTCTTTTTTCAATTTTCCCCTTTGACTTGATATGTTGTTCATGTGGTGAAAGAGTGGTAAAAAAGCTTGAAATCCTTCTCTTTTGTTTTTTTTCCTTTTGATTTTATCTTCTAGTATAGTTTGTTTTAGCTTTTGAAATGATTTTGGTCTATTACTATTTGGTATGTTTCAGGCAAAACCCATGTCACTTAAATCATTGGAGGCATCTGTTGTCGTCATGGTTGAGGAGGCAGCCACTGCCGTTGGTGTGGATATGGCCGTCTTGAGCAAGGGTGGTCTGCATCGAAGAAATTTCCTTCCACAAACTGGAATGACTGGAGCCGAGAAAATGAGATTCTACATGAGTGCACTGGCTATATTAGCTCTAATGTTTTGGTTCATTATAATAGCATCTGCATGAGCAGTAGCAAACAAATTTCCAAAGCTTTTAATATTTGGTTAAAGGAGGAAAGACGCATTGGTTATGGCATGGATTTCTCTCCTAATAAGTCATGACTATTGACTGATGATACTATTACGACAAATTGTTGACAGGTGTTTGCTTATTTAAAGGTTTTTGAACTTGTTTACATTCCTATCAAATATATTAGGAGATGCATGCATCAAAGTTCATGCCGTTTAAGCCTCAGTGCATGCAGTTTCTGACCAATCTAGCCATGTAATAACACTAATTATCTAACTAAACACATAATTTGACCCTAGCTTTTTTTATCAAGTGACAAGGGTGTTTAGGGTTTTATGTTTGGGTCGATCTAAGGTTATTCAATGCCTTTAGGTGAAGAGCCATCTAGATTAGAAATACCTAGATGTAATAAGGGATAATGATCACTTTTATTTTTCAAGAGGAAAGAGAGAAAAAGAAGGTAAAGTTGGTATTGATTTGACGAAATGTCACATTTGTAGTCAAATTTGCTAAATATTTATTGATGGAAGTGGACCCTTGCATGTAATGCACTGCCTGCAGAAATTGGTCCCCTTTTATTGCTTAAGATTCTTACTCACTAAGGGATCTTTCTTTTCTTTTCTTTTTTTTTTTAATAATATCATTATGACTATTCTTAGATTTTGCGGAAATTTAATTTTTTAGATAATTTTAAGAATATATTTTTTCATATAAATCTCATGTATATACTTTTTTTTTTGTTCAAAATATGTCATTTATTAATTTTAACAAATTTTAAGAAAAAAATTTAGATTTTAGTGTGTTTAATTTTAAAATTTAAAAATTTTTTTAAATTAAAGTTTTAAGACTTTTAATGTCAAAAAGTTAAAAAAATCTAAAATTTAATTTTAAAATATAAAAAATAAATTTTTTAAATGTTAAAAAAATCCAACATTATTTGAGACATTTCAAAAAGGAAAGATTGAAAAAAAAAAGGACAAAAAGAATATGATTTTATTTTTATATATTTTTCATAAAAAATGAATCCTAATTAATACGAATAAAAATGTAAAAAAAAAAAAGAAAAAGACAACCACAGAAATCCAAACTTGGAAGGAAAAAAAAAAAAAAAGATTAAGTGGGCAACTTCAACAAGCAAGGTTCGCATTAATAAATTCCAAATGTTGCCATGTAATTGTAACCTAATCATTTTCACTAAAATTACTACAACAATTTTGATTTTAACTGGCGATTTTTGATTAAAAATGTAAATGATAAATTAATATTCATAAGGTATTTGGGTTCGATTTGAATAAAACTCAAATTCGATTTGATTATTATTAAATCAAGTTCGAGTTCGAATAACTCGATTCATCGATCGAATCGAGTTTGAATATTTTAATATTCAGTTCGAGTAATTTGTTAGTGTAATCGAATTTTTATATTTAAAATTTTTTTATTATTTTAATAAATAAAATATCTCAAATTCGAGTTCGAATTCAAGCACAAATAATCAAGTTTTTATTGAGCATAAAAATTAAACTTATTTTTATATATTTTTTAGCTTAATCGAACGAATTCAAATAGTTTGAATTCGATTACGAATCGAATTCAAAATAAAAAAAAAAATTCAATCGAATTTAAATTAAATATCAAATAACGAGTTGAGAATCAAGCTATAATTTAAAATTTTCATTATATCACTTAACTCTTACTTTTGACAATAATTTTGTGAAAAAGTGAAAGAGTGGCTTAAGAAATTTTAGCCCACGATTTTTACCGTTGTCAAAGGTAAACTTTTTGTAGTAAGGAAGTGATAAACTCAATGGCCTTCAAGTTTTTTCTTTTTTTCTTGCTTTCGAATCTAAGAGCACCATTTTTTTTTTCGTGCTAATCGACTTGCTAGAATTTTTTTTTTTTTAATTTGAATTCAAAAATTTTAATTTTAAAATCAATTTTAATATTATTAAATTAATTTATCATTATTCATTATTAAGTAAAATTTTATATATCAATCTTAAAGATGAATTATAATTATTATACATCAAATTCAATTTTTATCTATTTTAATGTATATTGTATTTTCCTTGATAACATATTGATTTGTTAAGAATTGATTTTCTTTTATGTAAAAACTTGTTTATTTGACTAATTATGTTTGTAATATTTATTTGTAAATGTATTAAGCTAATTATGTCTCATAAAAGAATTTGGGTCTTGGAAGAAAATTGAATAATTTAGTTAAATTATATAATAATCAACTAATACTTCATTATTATAAATAAATGAATTACAACTAGATCTATTAAATTATAAAAAAATTACAATTAAATTTGATAATTTTAAATATGATATATTGATATAATATAAAAATTATATAAAAAGTAAAAAAAATAATATGATTTAGGATTTTAAACAAAATAATATGAAATTTAAATAACAAAAAATATATTTTATTTTTAACGTATTAATATAAATTTTGCAATGATAATTTTAAACAAATTAAATACAAAATAAACATGAAATAAATATAAAAATTATCTAATTACAACACTCCTTATTAAGTTGGTTAGGAAATTAGGAAAATTTTCACCATTGATTTTGTATCAATTTTGTCAAAAAATATAAGAAGAAAAAATCAAAAGAATTTCACATTTTCCAATACAAGTTTTTTATAAAAACAATACTAACATATTTTATTTTGATAAATAAATTTCAAACAGACAAATTATTTACAAATAAAATAACATTAAAATTTGAATCTAAAATTATTTTTTAACTGAAGTGTAGGAACCAACTTTAATTGCTTCAATTAATTTTATTATAACAAAAAAATGGTTAATTCCAAAATAAAAATGCATGATTGCAAAAATAATGTCAACAAAAAAAAAAATTTGAAAGAGAAAATTCAAAAGTGTAAGGAAGGAAAACAATAAAAGTCAAAATTGAGAAAAAAAAATCAAAATTAGGGTTTTTTTTTTTCTTTTTTAAATCGTCATTATTTGTGGACATGAAAAAAAAAAATAAAAACAAAAACCCAGACAATTTGCAAAGATATGTCCCTATAAAAGCCATTGCCATGCACTTCAATCCAACACATGACCTTCTTTCCCTCCTCACCGTCTTAGCTTCTTTTATCTCTTTCTTTTCTCTCACTTTCTTTTCAACCACACAAATAAATTTCAGTTGGTTGTCCTCCTTTTATTTTCTTCTAACAATATTTATTTATACGTTAGAGTTAGATATTTTTCCAATTATGCCAAAAAGAAACAAAAAAGAAATTTTATAATTTATTCTCCGTATAATCAAAGATAATCTGAGGCGTGGGTTTAATTCAATCTGGGATTTGGTATTTGAAAAAAAAAATTCTTGAGGAATTGTCGAAGCGGATTTCTCTTAGGAGCTCTTCGTTGAGGTAAAAATTTCAAACTTTTTATAGGTTTTACGATTCTGTTGCCTTAATTTCCTCGAAAATCTTACCTGGGAATATGTTTTTGACTGTAAGAATAAAAGATTTCATTTTTTATTTAATATCACCAGGTAATTAACTTTGTATTTTTTTAATCGTTTTGCTGTAAAAAAAATTAGAAAGCTTGCTAGAATATTTGGATACTCAATAATGAAAGCAACCCCCAAAAGCAGATTATTTCTATTAAACATAATTTAAATCATGGATTTTGTTAATATTTCTCATTCTCTTTCTCTTTGTTTTTTCATTTAATGATATATGATAAAGTTCTAGTTATGGGGGCTGATTTCATTGGGAAAATGTCAAATATTTAGCTAGAAAAGTTTCAAGTGCAGTTGTTTTTGGTTAGAAGGCTCAACCTTCTAACCGTGAGCCTTGGTAGCATTCTCAGAAGCCAACTAACAATTAATTCTTTAGTGAATAGCAATTGGTTGAGTATTAGAACTGCTTTCCAGTGATGTGCTGGTCTAGTGGTGAAAGTAGTGGTGTTTTAGTGAGTTACAGTCCTCCTTAGGCGGATGACCAATGGCCTAGGACAGAGAGAAAAATCGGAATCTTAAGAGCCTTGTGAAGAAGGGTTACCTAGTATTAGTATTAAATCAACCAAATTGACATCCAATTGTAAAGTTGTGGTTTACATAGCGAACTATCATGTTCAACTTAAGTCATGGTTGTAGGGTGTCTGTGAGTGTCTAGTAACATGTCCTGTCATTTTGTAAGAGTGCGGCAAATGATGTATACTGTCCAATTTATCTTAAAACATTAACAAAAATGAAATCCTGCTCTTATGTATAAATTTATGGTTGCAAAAACTGTGTTTTACCCGGAGTTTCTTATCAAGAGAAGGGGGGTGTTTATTGAAAAGAACTTTGTCAAATGTTTTGCATATTTGAGTAGTGATTTGTGTCCAAACGTACAAGTTTTTCTTTTTCACTTCCTTTAATTTATGACAAAAAATTTGATCTGAATTGTTTGTAACTTTTCTTCTCTCTTTTGATGTTGTCAGAATTTGATGGATACCAATAACTGGAGGCCTACTCCTGCCAGTGGAGAGCCCACCATGGATGCAGGTGATTGGAGAACCCAGTTGCAGCCTGATTCACGACAAAGAATTGTCAACAAGATGTAAGTGAATTTTATGGTATTATTATTTGTTAAATATACTTGTTGTATTTAAGTTACCGATATTCTGTGGCTTGTCTTTCACGGTTTCAATATTGTTAATAACCAAACAATACCATCAATAAAACCATATTTCCTATTCCAGAATGTTTTCTTTGTTTTGTAAATACATAGCTCGAAAATCAAAGCTTGCTCTTACCCAGAGTTTGGGCACAATGTATGGGCCACGTATCTGGAAGCCTAATGTGGCTAAGCTATTGGTGGCATACTTGGTATCGTCATTTAATGAATTTATGTGATTGAATGAGGATAAAATTTGCTTTTAGATCTTTTGCTTCTTGTAAGCTTGGGACTTGTGTTCTCATTTGAGTGCTACAGTATATGAATTGATGGTTCTCTTTTCTTCTTACTAACTGAATTATACCCATTCATTATATAACTTATAGCTGTAACGGACACTAGTGGTCTTGCTTTTCTATATCATTTTATGAACGATGGTTATTTTGGTATGTGGTCTATTTGAATGTAGCTGATATATGAAGGTCATGATGGCCACTTTGTTTATTGGGGGGAACTTTGTTAAATTCCAATGCCATGGCTTCTGGATGTTTAAATGAGACAGTCCTGAACAAGTTGAAGATGAAAATCTTTTGGTGGTCAGATTATATCCTGGTTAATTTTCATTTGATTTTATGTTAACTTCACAGTTTGGTCATGGCATTCTTTTATTAACCATGGAAGATTCTTATATATATCCTATTGGTGTGTCAATAACTTACACAATGCCTTGTGTACATAGAATGGACACATTGAAGAGGCTCCTTCCATTTTCTGGCCAAGAGGGTTTATATGAACTCAGGAAAATCGCAGTAAGGTTTGAGGAAAAGATTTTTACAGCAGCAAACAGCCAGGTAATCATAGAATATTGGCATTCCTTAACCTTCTTGGATGCATTGTTGTTTGCCTATATTTTGTTTGTTTGCGTTGTGTGTATGTATCTTTGTGTTTCTTTTTTTTTCTTATTCATATGTATAGACATGCATACACCTAGACTTCTTGTCAATTACATTGGAAGTAAATAAGAAAGAAATCCAGGTAGGAAAGAGAGCAGAGGTAGGAAAAAACAAAAATGCTTGATGCTAACTCATTATTAAGCATGGTTAATATAACATATTCGATAATCTTGTCTTGTATTTGAATAATGAAGTAAAGCTTATTTACTCTAATGCCGTAATGGATTTCTATATTCAGTCGGATTATCTGAGGAGAATATCCTTGAAGATTCTTACTATGGAGAACAAGTCTCAGAATACTATGCCCAACTCTGGGAATAACAGCACGCCCCCTGATCCAGGTAATAGCAGGAAACAGCATTTTGCTTTGATGTATGCTACAAGTAGGACATTTTCCGTTTACATGTCCTTTCTGTTCTTTAACATGCAGAGTTGTTTAACTTGCAACATTTATGCACATATTCTTTCTGCAGCTATTTGAATGAAAAATACCTATATTTTAACTCTTTTGTCCCTTAACAAAGCGTGGTTGTTTTGGTGGGTTGGAGTTGTTTAAGGGATTGATTTGATGAGCACCCAAACAGAAAGGCCTATTTGCTGTTCCCGTGATTGTAGTCTTTCTGCATGGGATGCACCTCTTCATGTGCTAGCCTAGGAATAATTTGATTATTTTTTCATGATCCTCATGGTATGATTCAATTGCCCTCACATGTTTTAAGTCTAGTTATCTTTTTGAATGAATTAATTACTGCTTCAGTATTTTTGTTGTTTATCTTGTTCTAAATGTTCTTCAATTCAGTTCTTGTGGGTTCTTCCCAACCTTCCTTTCTGAATATAAAAATCTTGGGTAGGTTCTCAGGGCATGCAAAACCAAGTTCACGGTCAAGGGCAATCAATTCCTATCCCATTACAAAGTAATCCGTCTCAAGCACGTCAACAACTGTTACCCCAGAGTGTTCCAAATAACATGTCATCTGCTGGAGTTCAAAGTTCTACTGGTTTACAATCTGGGATGCCTTCTGTGTCTGGTCCAACCCAGAATGCCATACCTAATGTTGTTGGCCAGAATTTCAACATTCAAAACTTGTCTGAAATTTCACAGAACTCACTGGGGCAAGGGATATCTTCCAATATTTTTACTAATCAGCAGAGGCAAATGCAAGGAAGGCAACGGGTGCTACTGCAACAGCAGCAGCAGCAACTATACCATCAGCAGTTACAACAGCAACTTATGAAGCAAAAGATTCAACAAGGAAATCTCCAGCCTTCACTTATGCAGTTTCACATGCCGCAACAGCAACAGCAAAACCTGTTACCACCTACTCAGTTGCAATCTTCCCTGCAATCTGGTATGCAAACATCAGCCGTTATGCAGCCATCTGCCATGCAATCAACTCCTCTTACTGGTCTTCAGAAGAATCAACAATCTTCTCTGCAAGAGTCAATACAGTCCATGCTTCAGCAGCATGAACAGCCACAATCGGCCACCAGTGTTGGTATTCTTCAACCACAAACAGCAATGACACGGCAGTCAATGATGCCTCAGCAGCAGCAACAGCCTCCACAGCCACAGCAACAGCTGCAGCAGCCAAACATAATGGGACAACAGACAAATGCTGCAAATATACAGCAGAATCAGTTAATTGGACAACAAAATAGCATTGTGGACATGCAGCAGCAGAGATTGCTAGGCCAGCCTAATAATATTCCAAACCTGCAGCAGCAGCAGCAGCATCAGTTAATGGCTGAACAAAACCTCTCAAATATCCATCAGCAACAGTTGGGTCCTCAAAGTAATATTTCAGGATTACGGCAACAGCAGCAACAGCAATTGATTGGAACCCAGTCGGGTAACTCAAGCATGCAAACTAATGAGCACATGCTACCCCAGCCTAAGGTTTCACTTCAACAAACGCAGCAGAGTGCACCTAATTTGTTACCAACTCAGGGACAGACATCCCAGCAGCCCCAGCAGCAGCAGCAGCAACAGCAACAGCAACTGATGTCACAGATGCAATTACAGTCTACTCCGCTGCAGCGACAATTGGGTTTGCAACAGCAGCCCTATCAGTTGCACCAAAATATGCAGCCAAGGCTTCACGCATCAGGTCATGTATCAAGTTCCTGGCTTCAATCACAAAATTTGATAGATCAGCAAAAGCAATTGTATCAATCACGCAGAGCTGTTCGAGAGACATCATCAAGTATGTTTTTGAATGTTTGCAGTTGCTTACTTTGTTCTTTCTTTGTTTCTTTCTGATCTTGTGTTATTTAACTAATCTATGCAATTTTTTCCTCTGATACTAGCACATTTTATCCTTGAAGCCTGAAAAAAATCTATTTTCTCATATAGCTACTATAGTTGATGCTATTGTTTTTCATTGCATTTCTATTACAGAAAATAATTTCCATTCCAACTTGGGGGGATTAAGAGAATATCTTTTTGAGCTTGCACTACATTATCCTATCAAAGCACATTTTGCCTAGATGATTAGTTCTTAGCTAACAAAGACAAATGCTACCAAAATTAATGGCACCCTTGCCTTCATAAGCTGATCATGGGCACTGCCTGGCTTTTTATGCCACCAGAAACATTGTTGTTACTGTGGAAAACTCAGAAATAAAACTGTGGAAATCTAAGAGTAAAAACTGAATGTATATTGAAAAACTGCTCATTAAGAATTATACAAGAACCTTAGTTTATATATAACTAACTAGGGGTTAAACTAGGAAACTAAATCTTTCTAAAACCTGATCATATGATTGAGGGACTGTCTATCATTGTCCTTAATTCTAGGGATACAAATACTTAATTCTAGAGATACAAAAATAAATATACAGATTACAAGAGTACAACCAGCTGTAAATAAGTGTTTTCCCACACTCCCCCTCAAGCTAGTGAATAGGTGTTTTCCATTCCCAGCTTGGAAATAATTTCTTGAAATATTGCACTGCTGAGACCTTTAGTCAACACATCTGCATGTTGACTCTTAGTTGATACATAAGGTGTACAAATTAACCCACTGTTTAGTTTCTCCTTTATGAAATGCCGGTCTACTTCAATGTTTTTTGTTCTGTCATGTTGCACAGGATTGTGTGCAATGCTTATTGCAGACTTGTTATCACAGTAGAGTCTCATTGGTCCATCCCACTTGATCTTCAAGTCTTCTAGGATAATCTTTAAACCATAGTAGTTCACAAATTCCTTGAGCCATTGCTCTGAACTTTGCTTCAGCACTTGATCTTGCAATCACATTTTGTTTTTTACTCTTCCAAGTCACGAAATTACCACCTAAGAAAGTGCAGTAGCCTGAGGTGGATCTTCTATCATTTGCTGAACTTGCATAATCAGCATCTATATATGTCTATAGAACTAGCCCCGAATTTCCTTTGAATAAGATACCTCTCCCAAGATTGGCCTTCAAATAATGCAATACACAGTAGACAGCCTGTAGGTGCACTTCTTTAGGACTATGTATAAATTGACTTATCACACTTACAGCATATGCTATATCAGGTCAAGTATGTGAGAGATAAATGAGTCTTTCAACTAATTTTTGGTACATCTCTCTATCTACAGTAGCATCTTCATTAGCTTCTCCAATTTTATGATTAGGATCTATAGGGGTATTTGCAGGTTTACATGTGAGCTTCCCAGTTTCCTTCAGAAGATCCATCACATATTTCTGTTGTGAGATAAAAATACCATGCCGTGAGTAAGCTATTTTAATTCCTAGGAAGTACTTCAATCTTCCTAGCTCTTCTATCTCAAATTCTCTAGCTAAACACAGTTTTAGAGATTTTCTCTCTTTTTCATCATCTCCAGTTACAATTATATCATCAACATACACTAATAGAATTGTGACTCTCCCTGAATTAAAGTGCTTGATAAATGATGTGTGATCTCCTTGACTCTGTTTATATCCCATTGATAGCATCACATTGGCAAATCTCCCGTACCAGGTCCTAGGAGACTGTTCAAGGCCATGTAAAGCCTTTTTCAGCTTGCATACTTTGTTTGCTTGTAGACGATCTCCAAATCCCGGTGGAACCTTCATATATATTTCTTCTTCCAAATCACCAAGTAGAAAAGCATTTTTTACATCAAATTGTTGAAGTTGCCAATTGTAATTTGCAGCCAATGATAACAAAACCTTAATTGTATTCATCTTGGCAACTGGAGCAAAGGTTTCCAGATAATTCACTCCATAGGTTTAAGTGTAGCCCCTAGCCACTAATTTGGCTTTATACCTTTCAACATTACCATCCGCCTTGTATTTTACAGTGAAAACCCATTTACGCCCTACTGAATTTTTTCCTTTAGGCAACTTTACCAGTTCCCATGTCTTATTTTTCTCTAAGGCCTCCATTTTTATTTTCATGGATTGCTTCCATTTTTTACTGGATAATGCCTCGGATAATGTAGTTGGAGCAGAAATAGTGTTTAGGCTCACAAGAAAATTTTTATGGGATAATGAGAATTTTTCAATGACACAAAATTAGAGATTTGGTATAGTGGTTGCTTAGTACATTCTTTGGTTTCTTTCCTAATGGCAATAGGCAGATCATAATCACTAGTTATAGTTTTAGGAGATTCATGCTCATTTTGAGAAATAAAGTCAAAAATTGTAGTTACCTCATTTCTAGAGTTAGGAACAAGTTCTTGGACTGGCATTGGTTCAGGACTTGGAACTTTCCTTCTTGAGTACACTTGTAATTCCTTCATAGAATCAAGAACAATATTATCTTTTGTCACATCTTCTATCTTTGGAATGGGTTCAGACTCAAATTCAGTGTTTGACTTAGGCTCAGCAGAAATAGGTTTTCACTCAGAAGAATTAATGGGTGAAAATGTTGAAGAGGAGGACAAATTAAGCAAAAAGAAGTCTTTATCATTATCTTCCATGAATGAAGTCTCTCCCTGAAGATAAGGTTGAGTAAAAAATGGTTTATTTTCTTCAAAAGTGACATTTGCAGACACATAATTTTTTGGTAGGAAGATGATAGCACTTATACCCTTTCTGAGTCACAAAGATACACTTAATTGCTCTTGGATCTAATTTTCTCTTATTATGACTGTGAACATGAACAAATGATGTACAACCAAATATCCTAGGTGTGAGGTTGTTTGTGGTATTGAGGTTGGGATAGAATTGTGAAAGTAGTTTCATAGGAGTTTTAAATCCCAAAACCCTTAAAGGTAACCTATTTGTAATGTGTGTGGCAGTGAGAACAGCTTCCCCCCCAGTAAGATTTGGGTACATTTGCTTGAAAAAAGAAGGTTCAGGTTGTGGCTAGTAAATGGTTGTTTTTCCTCTCTGCCACTCCATTTTGTTGTGGAGTATTAATACAAGATGACTCGTGAATAATCCTCTCTTTTTAAAAATAGGTGGATAGACTCTAGTTGAAATAGTCTCTTGCATTATCAGACCTAAATCTCATGATTCTCTCCAAATTGATTTTGGATCATGTTTTGGAAGCTTAAAAACACATTATTCACATCTTATTTGGATTTAAATAAAAAAACCCAAGAGAGTTTGGTACAATCATCTACGAATGAAACAAACCATTTTGCACCAGAAATTGTAGAGGGACCCCAAATGTCACTATGAATCAAGTAAAAGGGAGTAGAACTTCTTTTGTTACTAATTGAAAAAGACACACGTCTGTGCTTTGCAAGTTCACAAACATTACAATGAAAATCTTTGACATTTAATCCTTTGAACAAAGAAGGAAACATGTTTCACAAAGATCCAAAAGAAGAATGTTTAAGACGAAAATGATAAAGTTAGATTTTGTCTTTAGTGGAAGATTTTTCAGAATGAAATAACAAAGGTAAACTATTCTTGATATTACTTGTGTTGTTTGATGTCTTAAGATAGTATAGTCCATCCTTCTCCTTAGCAAGTCCAATCCTTTTCTTCGAACTCTAGTCCTGAAATTCACAATAAGAGGGATAAAAAATCACTTTGTAGTTCATATCTTTGGTAAGTTTTTGTGTAGATATCAAATTAGTAGACAATCCAAGAACATGAAGAACATTTTTAAGAACAAACGAGGGATTAATTTGAACATCTCCTAATCCTGCCACTGTAATGAGTGAACCATTTGCAACACCAATTTTCTTATTACTAGAACACAGGGTGTATGTACTAAACCTCTGTGAAGAATGTGTCATATAGTCTGTGGTCCTAAGTCAATGACCCAAGAACTCGTAATAGGCTTAACCGAGACATTTAATCCATGAGAACCAGAAGCTTTACCTGAACTAAAGACCTTACTCAAGGAACATACTACAATAGGCTTTTCAAGGGTTCAATAGCTTTCTCAGCTTTTCAATCTCTTCTTTGTCCAACTCTCCTTGTTTTTGAGACATCTGTAATACTTCGATGATTTTTTCAGTTGACACTTCCTCAAATTTGGTGATAGTGATATCTTTCTTTGAACTGAAACAAGTCTTAGGATATAATAAAAAATGACTGTTAGCAATGAAGGCTAAAGAAGGAAAAAATAAAATGGCTATGAAGGCCTTAACAGGGTTTGGCAATGAAGGCCTAAAAATAGAAGTTAGCAATGAAGGTTGAAAAATTTTGCTTCCCAAGAAGAGCCTAAAGCTTTGATACTATGTAGAAAACTTAGAAATAGAACTATGTGAAAAACTAAGAGTAAAAACTGAATGTATATTGAAAAACTGCTCATTAAGAATTATATAAGAACCTTAGTTTATATACAACTAACTATGGGTTAAACTAGGAAACTAAATCTTCCTAAAAACTGATCCTATGATTGTGGGATTGTCTATCATTGTCCTTAATTCTAGGGATACAAATACTTAATTCTAGAGATACAAAAATAAATATACAGATTACAAGATTACAATCAGCTGTAAATAAGTATTTTCCCACAGTTACCCGTGTCACTGCTAAGACTCCACTGCTGTCACTGTGCTATTATGTTACTCTTAACACTCACTCTAGTTATTTTGCAATGATTTTGTCAAACCACAAAGCAATGGCTGGATTTAATCTATTCATTTTATCAACAAATAATTCATGCTGTTTTATTCAACTTGGCTATAAAATATTCTTCTGGAAATAAGTAAACTGTGTTTTGTGTGCAAAGAGAAGTGACCATTTTGTTGGTTAAGCTCAAAGAGCAGAAACAAAATGCATAAACTCACTCATGCCCTTCATATTCATTTGAATTTTAGAATAGTCAGATAACTCTAGCAGTTTGTTTGATTATGTCGGGTTGGTGTGATTCCTTTGTCCGACTTAAATATTGTTGTTCTTTCTTGTAATCTAGCTTTCAAAAATGTTCCCACCACTTAATTTAACAAAAAAATTATGATTAGGAGATTGCAGTCCTGTTTGGGAACAGCTAGTTACTGTTTTTGCATCAAAATAGAGGGTAAACATGCTTGCAAATGTCAGAGGAGTTTTATTTGAATGAAGAATGCATAACGAATGACTAGATAAGCAAGTGGGTGACAGTGAGCTGGTTCATGCATGCATGAAATGGTTAAAAGGGTGTCAAAACTCAAAATTGTCTTAGTGGTGTTTTGATTTAGTCTAACGGCTTTTATTGAAACATTCTGTAGATTTAATTAAGTTCTATATGAACCCTATATTCCTTAAGTCTAATTTGTGCCCTAAATTTTTTTAGACCTTTAGTTTGACTCGCCCTTATTTGCTTGACATATTTATTTTTAACGAATAACAAGTCTGTAGCAGAAAATAGTTTAACTTTTTTTAGGTCTTCCTTCTCATGATCACTTAAACTTTTCTATCATTTACTCCTATTCCAACTGAACTCCTTTTTTATAGATGGCAAATGTATAGTTAGCTTTTAACTTGAGAAACTCTATAAGTAGACTTGAAAAATAAGAATGATGTTTGAACTTGGAGTTTGTCTCTATGTGTCACAATGGAAAGTCAAAATTAAAAAATTTTCTACTTTTGTAAGCGTGCATCTTAGAATATCCCAAAAGTAAAAGGCAGTGAAAATGGGGTGTAGGGAGCATGTTTTTAATGAGTAACCTCTAAAATTTGGATATGCATGGTTAGTTGCAGAAACTAGCAATAAAATTTTCTCATATGTCAATGTCCAAAATGTTTAATGGTTTCTTCAAATGCCTTTCAGTTGTAACCCGTGGTGGGTCTGATGGAATTTTGGGACATAGGAATTGATTATTGGTTGCATTATGATCCCTGTTGATAACCCATCAATGCTATGTGTACTTTAATTTGCTTTCAGAGTTGGTTGTTTTCTGCTCATAATATACCCTTCTTCCATAAATTATCTATTTCAATGTTCTGTTACATATGCAACAAAATAATGTACTTTCACGCGTATGGAACAATTTTCTTTCATTTAAATTATGTTTTCCTTGCGTATTCTTCTTCCTTCATAAATTTCCATTTTTCTTTTGTGTGTAGAATTTATTTATCCTTTTCTTTTAGCATCTTTAGATTCCACAGCTCAATCAGGACATGCAAATGGGGGTGATTGGCAAGAAGAGGTCTATCAGAAGGTAAAAACTATCTTGACTTATTCTCCTATAGATATTATTACAGTTTCAACTTGTTGGTGAGCAAGAAACCTAAGACCAAGGGTATCTTGCATACTTGACTTCAAAGTAATCATCATTTATCGACAACTTTGTTTCTTCTGTTATTAACTAATATCAATTCCTGCTAGTCAGAAAATGGAAAAATCTTGTTACTTTTCTAATAAATCATGACACTGGGATAATTTGAGTGGTTTAAATGTTGGTTAAGCATTCTGTTCCTGATTTTATGTTGCAGATCAAGGCCATGAAAGACACATACTTACCTGAATTAAATGAGATGTACCAGAAAATTGCTGCCAAGTTGCGGCAGGTATGTTTATTCTTTTACATAATCATATATGTTGATTCCCTAACCTCCAAGGAGTGATAGAACCCATCTGCCCCGTAGTCTGCCACCCTGTGTCTCTAAATAGAATTTAGAGAGGACTTTACTGCTTCACATTAGAAAGCTGTTGAACCCATACCACTTTTGGGTTGCTACTTGAATCCCCTTACCATAGACACTGTTTAGTGGTTGCACTTATGCATATCTGTTGTAATAGTGGTTTGTAGTTTTACTTGCATCAGTTGAAACAATTTTATGTGTACTATTTTCCAGCATGATTCTCTTCCACAGCAGCCAAAGTCAGAGCAGCTTGAAAAGTTGAAAATGTTCAAGATCATGTTGGAGCACATTATATCTTTCTTATCAGTTCCCAAAGCCAGTATCTTACCCACTTTCAAGGATAAGTTGAGTTTGTATGAGAAGCAGATAGTAAATTTTTTAAATACCAATAGGCCAAGGAAGGCAGTCTCCGCACTGCAGCAAGGACAGCTTCCTCCGCCTGATATGCATTCCGTGCCGCAGCCACAACCTCAAATTAATCAGACACAGTCTCATGATAATCAAATGAACCCTCAGTTGCAGTCAACGAATTTACAAGGTTTTGTTCCAACAATGCAGCCGAACAACATGACAAGTTTGCAGCATAATTCTGTGTCTTCCTTACTGGGGTTGCAACAGTGCAGCAGACCATGTTAAATTCGCTGCAGCCCAGTTCCAATTTGGATGCAGGACAAGGTAATGCCCTAGGCTCAATGCAGCAGGTTGCTGCAGGACCTTTACAACAGAATCCTGTGAGTACCTCCCAACAGGCAAATATTAACAGTTTATCCTCACAAAGTGGGTTAAGTGTCCTGCCGCAAAACATGAATCCTTTTCAGTCAAATTCCAACATGCTTCAGCACCAGCATATGAAACAACAGCAGGAACAGCAAATGCTGCAATCACAAATGTGCAAACAACAGTTTCAACTGCTTCAGATGCAGCGGAAGCTGCAGCTACTGCAACAACTACAGCAACAGCAACAAAAGCAGCTGCATGAAATGGATGATATAAATGACGTGAACATGAGACAGGGAATCGGTGTTAATCCTGGGGTTCTTCAAGCAAATCTCTCAACTGGCCAACTTCCAGGTTATTCATATGAGCATTCAAAAACTAGTGCCCAATTTCATACATCTTCACCCCCGCTCTTTCAGGCTCCATTTGTCCCACCTACTTCAACCCTGTTGAGTCGATATCCCTCGCCTGAGAACACTGAGAAATCTATCTATGGCGCTTCCTCTCTGTCAAATAACAAAAATATTAGTCAGCAGCAAGCAGGATCTGAATTCCCTGCACCTGACACACCTGGTAATGGTATGTCAACATCACCTTTGCTTACTGTGTTCGAAAATGCTAATGATACTCACAGTATTGCTTTAACAACTGATTTTGGCAAGTCGAAGGTTACAGAACTGCCACATGATCCCAGAGTTACCATGGTTAGTGAAGCTTAATTTTCATTCTTGACATTCTCTTTTTTCAATTTTCTCCTTTGGCTTGATATGTTGTTCATGTAGTGAAAGAGTGGAAAAAAACCTTGAAATCCTTGTCTTTTTTTTTTCCTTCTTTTTGACTTTATCTTCTAATATAGTTTGTTTTAGCTTTTGAAATGATGTTGGTCTATTACTATTTTATAAGTTTCGGGCAAAACCCATGTCACTTAAATCATTGGAGGCATCCGTTGTGAGCATGGTTGATGAGGCAGCCTCTGCAGTTGGTGTGGATATGGCCACCACGAGCAAGGGTGGTTTGCGTCGAAGAAATTTCTTTCCACAAACTGGAATCACTGGAGCCGAGAAAATGAGATTCTACATGAGTGCACTAGCTATATTAGCTCTAATGTTTTGGTTCGTTATAATAACATCTGCATGAGCAGTAGCAAACAAATTTCCAAAGCTTTTTATGCTTGGGTAAAGGAGGAAAGGCCCATTGGTGGTAGCTTGGACTTCTCTTGTACTGAGTCAAGATGATACTATTATGACAAATTGTTGACAGGTGTTTGCTTCTTGTAAGGTTTTTGAACTTGTTTACATTCCAATCAAATATATTAGGAGATGCATGCTTCAAAGTTCATGCCGTTTAAGCCTCAGTGCATGCCGTTTCTGCCCAATCTAGCCATGTAATAATACTAATTATCTTACTAAACACATAATTTGATTAAGCGACAAGGGTTTTTAGGGTTTTATTTTTGAGTCGATCTAAGGTTATTCAGTACTTTTAGGTGAAGAGCAAACTAGATTAGAAATACCTCTATGTAATAAGAGATGAAGATCACTTTTATTTTTCAAAAGTAAAGGGGGAAAAAGAACGAAAAGACAACATAAAGCCGGTGTTGATTTGACGACATGTCACATTTGTTGTCAAATTTGATAAATATTCATTGATGGAAATTTAGATTGCTTAAGATTCTTACTTGCTAAGGGATCTTTTTTTTTTTTTTTTTTTTTATAATATCATTATGACTATTCTTAGATTTTAGATTTTGTGGAAATTTGATTTTTTTAGATAATTTTAAGAATATATTTTTTCATATACATCTCATGTATAAACTTTTTTTTTGTTTAAAAATATGTTATTTACTATTTTTAACAAAATTTAAGAAAAAATTTTAGATTTTAGTGTATTTAATATTAAAATTTAAAATTTTTTTATAAAATTAAAATTTTATGACTTTAATGTTAAAAAGTTTAAAAAATCATAAAATTTAATTTTAAAATATAAAAAATAAAAATTTTAAATGTTAAAAAAATACAACATAATTTTGAGACGTTTCAAAAAGGAAAGATGGAAAAAAAGGGACAAAAAAATGTGATTTTATTTATATATATTTTTCATAAAAGGTGAATCTTAATTAATACAAATAAAAATGTAAAAAAAAAAAAAAAAGACAACCATTGAAATCCAAACTTGGAAGGAAAAAAAAAAAAAAAGATTAGGTGCGCCAACTTCAACATGCTAGGTTCGCACTAGTAAATTCCAAATATTGCCATGTAATTGTAACCTAATTATTTTGACTAAAATCACTATAATAATTTTGTTTTTCAGCGACGACATGTGAAAATGATTTGTGAAAAAGTGAAAGAGTGGCTTAAGAAATTTTAGCCCACGATTTTTACCGTTGTCAAAGGTAAAATTTTTGCAGTAAGGAAGTGATAAACTCAACGGCCAATGGCCTTCAAATTTTTTTTTTCTTGCTTTCAAATCAAAGAGCACCATTTTTTTTTTTTTTCGTGTTAATCGACTTGCTAGACCTTTTTTTTTTTAATTTGAATTCCAAAATTTAATTTTAAAATCAATTTTAATATTATTAAATTAATTTATAATTATTCATTATTAAGTGAAATTTTATATATTAATCTTAAAATGATGATTTATAATTATTATATATCAAATTTAAAGTTTACCGTATGATAATTTATTTTAATTCATATTGTATTTTTCTTGATAACATATTGATTTATTATGAATTGATTTTTTTCTTATGCAAAAACTTATTTAATTAATTAATTATGTTTGTAATATTTACTTGTAAATGCTTTTAGCTAATTATGTCCGATAAAAGAATTTGATTTATTGTAAAATGGAATTTGAATTACTTGGGTCTTGAAAGAAAATTAAATAATTTAGTTAAATTATATAATCATCAACTAATACTTTATTATTATAAATAAATGAATTACAAATATATATATTAAATCATTAAAAAATTTTCAATTAAATTTGATAATTTTAAATATGATATATTTATATAATATAAAAATTATATAAAAAATATGAAAATTATATGATTTAAAATTTTAATTAAAATAATATATAATTTAAAAATAAAAAATAAATTTCATATTTAACATGATAATTTTATACATATTAAATACAAAATAAACAAGAAATAAATATAAAATTTTTCTAATTACAACGTTCCTTATCAAGTTGATTAGGAAATTAGGAAAATTTTCACCATTCATTTTGTATCAATTTTGTAAAAAAATATAAGAAAAACATATCAAAAGAATTTCACTTTTTCCAATACAAGTTTTTATAAAAACAAAAATAATAGATTTTATTTTGATAAATAAATTTGAGACAGACAAATATTTACAAATAAAATAACGTTAAAATTTGAATTTAAAAGAAGTATAGGAACCAACCTTCATTGCTTTAATTAATTTTATTATAACAAAAATGTGGTTAATTCCAAAATAAAAATGCATGATTGCAAAAATAATGTCAACAAAAAAAAATAGTTTTTTGAAAGAGAAAAATTCAAAAGTGTAAGGAAGGAATAACAATAAATGTCCTAATTGATAAAAAAAAAAATCAAAATTAGGGTTTTTTTTTCTTTTTTAAATCGTCATTATCTGTGGACATGAAAAATAATAATAAAATAAAAACAAAAACGCATACAATATACAAAGATATGTCCCTGTAAAAGTCATTGCCATTCACTTCGATCCAACACATGACTTTCTTTCCCTTCTTCCCGTCTAAGCTTCTTTTTTCTCTTTCTTTTCTTTCACTTTCTTTTCAACCAAACGAATAAATATCAGTTGGTTTTCCTCCTTTTATTTTCTTCTAATAATATTTATTTATACGTGAGAGTTAGGTATTTTTCCAATTATGCCAAAAAGAAACAAAAAAGAAATTTTATAATTTGTTCTCTGTATTATCAAATCAACGATAATCTGAGGCGTGGGTTTAATTCAATCTGGGATTTGGTATTTGAAAAAAAAAATCCTTGAGGAATTTTCGAAGCGGATCTCTCTTGGAAGCTCTTCGTTGAGGTAAAAATTTCAAACTTTTTATAGGTTTTACAATTCTGTTGCCTTAATTTCCTCTAAAATCTTACCTGGGAATATATTTTTGACTGTAAGAATAAAATATTTCATTTTTTTTTATTTAATATCACCCGGTAATTAACTTTGTTTTTTTTTTTAATCTTTTTGCTTTAAAAAAAATTAGAAAGGTTGCTAGAATATTTGGATACCCAATAATGATAGCAACCCCCAAAAGCAGATTATTTCTATTAAACATAATTTAAATCATGAATTTTGTTTATATTTCTAATTCTCTTTCTCTTTGCTTTTTCATTTAATGATATATGATAAAGTTCTAGTTATGGGGGCTGATTGCATTGGGAAAATGTCAAATATTTAGCTAGAAAAGTTTCAAGTGCAGTTGTTTTTGGTTAGAAGGCTCAACCTTTTAACCGTGAGCCTTGGTAGCATTCTCAGAAGCCAACTAACAATTAATTCTTTAGTGAATAGCAATTGGTTGAGTATTAGCATTGCTTTCCAGTGATGTGCTGGTCTAGTGGTGAAAGTAGTGGTGTTTTAGTGAGTTACAGTCCTCCTTAGGTGCATGACCAATGGCCTAGGACAGAGAGAAAAATCGGAATCTTAAGAGCCTTGTGAAGAAGGGTTTCCTAGTATTAGTATTAAATCAACCAAATTGACATCCAATTGTAAAGTTGTGGTTTACATAGCAAACCATCATGTTCAACTTAAGTCATGGTTGTAGGGTGTCTGTGAGTGTCTAGTAACATGTCTTGTCATTTTGTAAGAGTGCGGCAAATGATGTATACTGTCCACTTTATCTTACAACATTAACAAAAATGAAATCCTGCTCTTATGTATAAATTTATGGTTGCAAAAACTGTGTTTTACCCCGAGTTTCTTATCAAGAGAAGGGGGTTGTTTATTGAAAAGAACTTTGTCAAATGTTTTGCATATTTGAGAAGTGATTTGTGTCCAAACTTACAAGTTTTTCTTTTTCACTTCCTTTAATATATGACAAAAAATTTGATGTGAATTGTTTGTGACTTTTCTTTTCTCTTTTGATGTTGTCAGAATTTGATGGATACCAATAACTGGAGGCCTACTCCTGCCAGTGGAGAGCCCACCATGGATACAGGTGATTGGAGAACCCAGTTGCAGCCTGATTCACGACAAAGAATTGTCAACAAGATGTAAGTGAATTTTATGGTATTATTATTTGTTAAATATACTTGTTGTATTTAAGTTACTGATATTCTGTGGCATGTCTTTTACAGTTTCAATATTGTTAAACCAAACAATACCATCAATAAAACCATATATCCTATTCTAGAGCGCATTCTTTGTTTTGTAAATACATAGCTCGAAAATCAAAGCTTGCTCTTACCCAGAGTTTGGGCACAATATATGGATCACGTATCTGGAAGCCTGATGTGGCAAAGCTATTGGGTCCAATTCTGTGTGGCGTACTTGGTATCGACATTTAATGAATTTATGTGATTGAATGAGGATAAATTTTACTTTTAGATCTTTTGCTTCTTGGAAGCTTGGGACTTGTTTTCTCATTCGAGTGCTACAGTATATGAATTGATGGTTCTCTTTTCTTCTTACTAACTCAATTATACCCATTCATTAAATAACTTATAGCTGTAACGGACACTAGTGGTCTTGCTTTTCTATATCATTTTATGAACGATGGTAATTTTGGTATGTGGTCTATTTGAATGTAGCTGATATATGAAGGTCATGATGGCCACTTTGTTTATTTGGGAGAACTTTGTTAAATTCCAATGCCATGGCTTCTGGATATTTGAATGAGTCGGTCCTGAACAAGTTAATGAGGAAAATCTTTTGGTGGTCAGATTATATCCTGGTTGATTTTCATTTGATTTTATGTTAACTTCACAATTTGGTCATGGCATTGTTTTATTAACCATGGAAGATTCTTATATATATCCTATTGGTTTGTCGATAACTTACACAATGCCTTGTGTGCATAGAATGGACACATTGAAGAGGCACCTTCCATTTTCTGGCCAAGAGGGTTTAAATGAACTCAGGAAAATCGCAGTAAGGTTCGAGGAAAAGATTTTTACAGCAGCAAACAGCCAGGTAATCATAGAATATTGGCATTCCTTAACCTGCTTGGATGCATTGTTGTTTACCTATATTTTGTTTGTTTGCGTTGTGTGTATGTATCTTTGTGTTTCTTTTTTTTCTTATTTATATGTATAGACATGCATACACCTAGACTCCTTGTCAATTACATTGGAAGTAAATAAGAAAGAAATCCAGGGAGGAAAGAGAGCAGAGGTAGGAAAAAACAAAGACGCTAAATGGATATTAAGCATGGTTAATATAACATATTTGACAATCTTGTCTTGTATTTGAATAATGAAGTAAAGCTTGTTTACTCTAATGCTGTAATGGATTTCTATATTCAGTCTGATTATCTAAGGAGAATATCCTTGAAGATGCTTACTATGGAGAACAAGTCTGAGAATACCATACCCAACACTGGGAATAACAGCAAGGCCCCTGATCCAGGTAATAGCAGGAAACAGCATTTTGCTTTGATGTAATCTAGAAGGAGGACATTTTCCATTTACATGTCCTTTCTGTTCTTTAACATGAAGAGTTGTTTAACTTGCAACATTTATGCACATATTCTTTCTGCAGCTATTTGAATGAAAATTACCTATATTTTAACTCTTTTGTCCCCTTAACAAAGCGTGGTTGTTTTGGTGGGTTGGAGTTGTTTAAGGGATAGATTTGATAAGCACCCAAATAGAAAGCCCCATTTGCTGTTCCCATGATTGAAGTCCTTCAGCATGGGATGCACCTCTTCATGTGCTAGGCCTAGGAATAATTTTATTATTTTTTTCATGATCCTCATGGTATGGTTCAATTGCCCTCACAGGTTTTAAGTCTAGTCATCTTTTTGAATGAATTAATTACTGCATCAGTATTTTTGGTGTTTATCTTGTTCTAAATGTTCTTCAATTCAGTTCTTGTGGGTTCTTCCCAACTTTTCTTTCTGAATATAAGAATCTTGGGTAGGTTGTGAGGGCATGCAAAACCAAGTTCACAGTCAAGGGCAATCAATTCCTTTCCCATTACAAAGTAATAAGTCTCAAGCACATCAACAACTGTTACCCCAGAGTGTTCCAAATAACATGTCATCTGCTGGAGTTCAAAGTTCTACTGGTTTACAATCTGGGATGCCTTCTGTGTCTGGTCCAACCCAGAATTCTATACCTAATGTTGTTGGCCAGAATTCCAACATGCAAAACTTGTCTGAAATTTCACAGAACTCACTGGGGCAAGGGATATCTTCCAATATTTGTACTAATCATCAGAGGCAAATGCAAGGAAGGCAACAGGTGCTACCGCAACAGCAGCAGCACCTTTGCTTGCAGGGTTCGAAATTACCTGCACCTGACACACCTGGTAATGGTATGTCAACATCACCTTTGCTTGCAGGGTTCGAAAATGCTAATGATACTCACAGTAATGCTTTAACAACTGATTTTGGCGAGTCGAAGGATACAGAAGAGCCACATGTTCCCAGAGTTACCATGGTTAGTGGAGCTTAATTAATTTTCATTCTTCGCATGCTCTTTTTTCAATTTTCCCCTTTGGCTTGATATGTTGGTCATGTGGTGAAAGAGTGGTAAAAATGCTTGAAATCCTTCTCTTTGTTTTTTTTCCTTTTGATTTTATCTTCTAGTATAGTTTGTTTTAGCTTTTGAAATGATTTTGGTCTATTACTATTTGGTATGTTTCAGGCTAAACCCATGTCACTTAAATCATTGGAGGCATCTATTGTCGTCATGGTTGAGGAGGCAGCCACTGCCGTTGGTGTGGATATGGCCGCCTTGAGCAAGGGTGGTCTGCATCGAAGAAATTTCTTTCCACAAACTGGAATGACTGGAGCCGAGAAAATGAGATTCTACATGAGTGCACTGGCTATATTAGCTCTAATGTTTTGGTTCATTATAATAGCATCTGCATGAGCAGTAGCAAACAAATTTCCAAAGCTTTTAATATTTGGTTAAAGGAGGAAAGACGCATTGGTTATGGCATGGATTTCTCTCCTAATAAGTCATGACTATTGACTGATGATACTATTACGACAAATTGTTGACAGGTGTTTGCTTATTTAAAGGTTTTTGAACTTGTTTACATTCCTATCAAATATATTAGGAGATGCATGCATCAAAGTTCATGCCGTTTAAGCCTCAGTGCATGCAGTTTCTGACCAATCTAGCCATGTAATAACACTAATTATCTAACTAAACACATAATTTGACCCTAGCTTTTTTTATCAAGTGACAAGGGTGTTTAGGGTTTTATGTTTGGGTCGATCTAAGGTTATTCAATGCCTTTAGGTGAAGAGCCATCTAGATTAGAAATACCTAGATGTAATAAGGGATAATGATCACTTTTATTTTTCAAGAGGAAAGAGATAAAAAGAAGGTAAAGTTGGTATTGATTTGACGAAATGTCACATTTGTAGTCAAATTTGCTAAATATTCATTGATGGAAGTGGACCCTTGCATGTGCTGCACTGCCTGCAGAAATTGGTCCCGTTTTATTGCTTAAGATTCTTACTCGCTATGGGATCTTTCTTTTCTTTTCTTTTCTTTTTTAATGATATCATTATGACTATTCTTAGATTTTGTGGAAATTTAATTTTTTTAGATAATTTTAAGAATATATTTTTTCATATAAATCTCATGTATATACTTTTTTTTTTGTTTCAAAATGTCATTTATTAATTTTAACAAAATTTAAGAAAAAATTTTAGATTTTAGTGTGTTTAATTTTAAAATTTAAATTTTTTTTAAAATTAAAGTTTTATGACTTTTAATGTCAAAAAGTTAAAAAAATCTAAAATTTAATTTTAAAATATAAAAAATAAATTTTTTAAATGTTAAAAAAATCCAACATAATTTGAGACATTTCAGAAAGGAAAGATTGAAAAAAAAAAAGGACAAAAAGAATATGATTTTATTTTTATATATTTTTCATAAAAAATGAATCCTAATTAATACGAATAAAAATGTAAAAAAAAAAAAAAAAGACAACAATAGAAATCCAAACTTGGAAGGAAAAAAAAAAAAAAGATTAAGTGGGCCAACTTTAACATGCAAGGTTCGCATTAGTAAATTCCAAATGTTGCCATGTAATTGTAACCTAATCATTTTCACTAAACTTACTACAACAATTTTGATTTTAAGTGACGATTTTTGATTAAAAATGTAAATGATAAATTAATATTTGTAAGTTATTCGGATTCGATTCGAATAAAATTCGAATTCGATTCGATTATTATCGAATCAAGTTCGAGTTCGAGTAATTCGATTAATCGATCGAATCGAATTCGAGTATTTTAATATTTAGCTCGAGTAGCTCGTTAGTTTAATCGAACTTTTATATTTAAATTTTTTTTATTATTTTAGTTAATAAAATATCTTGAATTCGAGTTCGAAATCAAGCACAAATAATCGAGTTCTTGTCGAACATAAAAATTGAACTTATTTTTATATATTTTTGAGCTTAATCGAATAAGTTCGAGTAGTTTGAATTCGATCACGAATCGAGTTCGAAATAAAAAAATGAATCTCGATCGAACTCGAATTGAATATCAAATTACGAATTGAGAATCAAACTATAATTTAAAATTCTCATTGTATCCACTTAACTCTTACTTTTGACAATAATTTTGTGAAAGAGTGGCTTAAGAAATTTTAGCCCACGATTTTTACCGTTGTCAAAGGTAAACTTTTTGTAGTAAGGAAGTGATAAACTCAATGGCCAATGGCCTTCAAGTTTTTTTTTTTTTTTTCTTGCTTTCGAATCAAAGAGCACCATTTTTTTTTTTCGTGCTAATCGACTTGCTAGAATTTTTTTTTTTAATTTGAATTCAAAAATTTTAATTTTAAAATCAATTTTAATATTATTAAATTAATTTATCATTATTCATTATTAAGTAAAATTTTATATATTAATCTTAAAATGATGAATTATAATTATTATACATCAAATTCAATTTTTATCGTATGATAATTTATTTCAATGTATATTGTATTTTCCTTGATAACATATTGATTTGTTAAGAATTGATTTTCTTTTATGTAAAAACTTGTTTATTTGACTAATTATGTTTGTAATATTTTTTTGTAAATGTATTTAGCTAATTATGTCTCATAAAAGAATTTGGGTCTTGGAAGAAAATTGAATAATTTAGTTAAATTATATAATAATCAACTAATACTTCCTTATTATAAATAAATGAATTACAACTAGATCTATTAAATTATAAAAAAATTACAATTAAATTTGATAATTTTAAATATGATATATTGATATAATATAAAAATTATATACAAAGTAAAAAAATAATATGATTTAGGATTTTAAACAAAATAATATGAAATTTAAATAATAAAAAATATATTTTATTTTTAACGTATTAATATACATTTTGAAATGATAATCTTAAACATATTAAATACAAAATAAACATGAAATAAATATAAAAATTGTCTAATTACAACACTCCTTATTAAGTTGGTTAGGAAATTAGGAAAATTTTCACCATTGATTTTGTATCAATTTTGTAAAAAAATATAAGAAAAAAAAATCAAAAGAATTTCACATTTTCCATTACAAGTTTTTATAAAAACAATACTAACATATTTTATTTTGATAAATAAATTTGAGACAAACAAATTATTTACAAATAAAATAACATTAAAATTTAAATCTAAAATTATTTTTTAACTGAAGTGTAGGAACCAACCTTAATTGCTTCAATTAATTTTATTATAACAAAAAAGTGGTTAATTCCCAAATAAAAATGCATGATTGTAAAAATAATGTCAACAAAAAAAATACAAATTTTTTAAAGAGAAAAATTAAAAAGTGCAAGGAAGGAATAACAACAAAAGTCAAAATTGATAAAAAAAAAATCAAAATTAGGGTTTTTTTTTTTTTTTAAATCGTCATTATTTGTGGACATGAAAAATAATAATAAAATTAAAATAAAAACGCCGACAACATACAAAGATATGTGCCTATAAAAGTCATTGCCATTCACTACGATCCAGCACATGACTTTCTTTCCCTTCTTCCCGTCTAAGCTTCTTGTTTCTCTTTCTTTTCTCTTACTTTCTTTTCAACCAAACAAATAAATTTCAGTTGGTTTTCCTCCTTTTATTTTCTTCTAATAATATTTATTTGTACGTGAGAGTTAGGTATTTTTCCAATTATGCCAAAAAGAAACAAAAAAGAAATTTTATAATTTATTCTCTGTATAATCAAAGGTAATCTGAGGCGTGGGTTTAATTCAATCTGGGATTTGGTATTTGAAAAAAAAAATTCTTGAGGAATTGTCGAAGCGGATCTCTCTTAGGAGCTCTTCGTTGAGGTAAAATTTTCAAACTTTTTATAGGTTTTACGATTCTGTTGCCTTAATTTCCTCGAAAATCTTACGTGGGAATATGTTTTTGACTGTAAGAATAAAAGATTTCATTTTTTTATTTAATATCACCCGGTAATTAACTTTGTATTTTTTTTAATCTTTTTGCCTTAAAAAAAATTAGAAAGGTTGCTAGTATATTTGGATACCCAATAATGAAAGCAACCCCCAAAAGCAGATTATTTCTATTAAACATGATTTAAATCATGGATTTTGTTAATATTTCTAATTCTCTTTCTCTTTGTTTTTTCATTTAATGATATATGATAAAGTTCTAGTTATGGGGACTGATTTCATTGGGAAAATGTCAAATATTTAGCTAGAAAAGTTTCAAGTGCAGTTGTTTTTGGTTAGAAGGCTCAACCTTTTAACCGTGAGCCTTGGTAGCATTCTCAGAAGCCAACTAACAATTAATTCTTTAGTGAATAGCAATTGGTTGAGTATTAGCATTGCTTTCCAGTGATGTGCTGGTCTAGTGGTGAAAGTAGTGGTGTTTTAGTGAGTTACAGTCCTCCTTAGGTGCATGACCAATGGCCTAGGACAGAGAGAAAAATCGGAATCTTAAGAGCCTTGTGAAGAAGGGTTTCCTAGTATTAGTATTAAATCAACCAAATTGACATCCAATTGTAAAGTTGTGGTTTACATAGCAAACTATCATCTTCAACTTAAGTCATGGTTGTAGGGTGTCTGTGAGTGTCTAGTAACATGTCTTGTCATTTTGTAAGAGTGCGGCAAATGATGTGTACTGTCCACTTTATCTTACAACATTAACAAAAATGAAATCCTGCTCTTATGTATAAATTTATGGTTGCAAAAACTGTGTTTTACCCCGAGTTTCTTATCAAGAGAAGGGGGGTGTTTATTGCTACGAACTTTGTCAAATGTTTTGCATATTTGAGAAGCGATTAGTGTCCAAACTTACAAGTTTTTCTTTTTCACTTCCTTTAATATATGACAAAAAATTTGATGTGAATTGTTTGTGACTTTTCTTTTCTCTTTTGATGTTGTCAGAATTTGATGGATACCAATAACTGGAGGCCTACTCCTGCCAGTGGAGAGCCCACCATGGATACAGGTGAATGGAGAACCCAGTTGCAGCCTGATTCACGACAAAGAATTGTCAACAAGATGTAAGTGAATTTTATGGTATTATTATTTGTTAAATATACTCGTTGTATTTAAGTTACTGATATTCTGTGGCATGTCTTTTACAGTTTCAATATTGTTAATAACCAAACAATACCATCAATAAAACCATATATCCTATTCCAGAGCGCTTTCTTTGTTTTGTAAATACATAGCTCAAAAATCAAAGCTTGCTCTTACCCAGAGTTTGGGCACAATATATGGGCCACGTATCTGGAAGCCTGATGTGGCAAAGCTATTGGGTCCAATTCTGTGTGGCATACTTGGTATCGACATTTAATGAATTTATGTGATTGAATGAGGATAAATTTTGCTTTTAGATCTTTTGCTTCTTGTAAGCTTGGGACTTGTTTTCTCATTCGAGTGCTACAGTATATGAATTGATGGTTCTCTTTTCTTCTTACTAACTGAATTATACCCATTCATTAAATAACTTATAGCTGTAACGGACGCTAGTGGTCTTGCTTTTCTATATCATTTTATGAACGATGGTAATTTTGGTATGTGGTCTATTTGAATGTAGCTGATATATGAGGGTCATGATGGCCACTTTATTTATTTGGGAGAACTTTGTTAAATTCCAATGCCATGGCTTCTGGATTTTTGAATGAGACAGTCCTGAACAAGTTAATGAGGAAAATCTTTTGGTGGTCAGATTATATCCTGGTTGATTTTCATTTGATTTTATGTTAACTTCACAATTTGGTCATGGCATTTTATTAACCATGGAAGATTCTTATATATATACTATTGGTTTGTCGATAACTTACACAATGCCTTGTGTGCATAGAATGGACACATTGAAGAGGCACCTTCCATTTTCTGGCCAAGAGGGTTTAAATGAACTCAGGAAAATCGCAGTAAGGTTCGAGGAAAAGATTTTTACAGCAGCAAACAGCCAGGTAATCATAGAATATTGGCATTCCTTAACCTGCTTGGATGCATTGTTGTTTACCTATATTTTGTTTGTTTGCGTTGTGTGAATGTATCTTTGTGTTTCTTGTTTTTCTTATTCATATGTATAGACATGCATACACCTAGACTCCTTGTCAATTACATTGGAAGTAAATAAGAAAGAAATCCAGGGAGGAAAGAGAGCAGAGGTAGGAAAAAAAAAGATGCTAAATGCTAACTCAATATTAAACATGGTTAATATAACATATTTGATAATCTTGTCTTGTTTTTGAATAATGAAGTAAAGCTTGTTTACTCTAATGCTGTAATGGATTTCTATATTCAGTCTGATTATCTAAGGAGAATATCCTTGAAGATGCTTACTATGGAGAACAAGTCTCAGAATACTATACCCAACACTGGGAATAACAGCAAGGCCCCTGATCCAGGTAATATCAGGAAACAGCATTTTGCTTTGATGTATTCTTGAAGTAGGACACTTTCCATTTACATGTCCTTTCTGTTCTTTTACATGCAGAGTTGTTTAACTTGCAACATTTATGCACATATTCTTTCTGCAACTATTCGAATTAAAATTATCTGTATTTTAACTCTTTTGTCCCCTTAACAAAGCGTGGTTGTTTTGGTGGGGTGGAGTTGTTTAAGTGATAGATTTGGTGAGCACCCAAATAGAAAGCCCGTTTTGCTGTTTCCATGATTGAAGTCTTTCAGCATGGGTTGCACCTCTTCATGTGCTAGGCCTAGGAATAATTTTATTATTTTTTCATGATCCTCATGGTATGGTTCAATTGCCCTCACACGTTTTAAGTCATCTTTTTGAATGATCCTCGTGCTTCAGTATTTTTGTTGTTTATCTTGCTCTAAAGTTTCTTCAATTCAGTTCTTGTGGGTTCTTCCCAACTTTTCTTTCTGAATATAAAATCGTGAGTAGGTTCTCAGGGCATGCAAAACCAAGTTCACAGTCAAGGGCAATCAATTCCTATCCCATTACAAAGTAATCAGTCTCAAGCACGTCAACAACTGTTATCCCAGAGTGTTCCAAATAACATGTCATCTGCTGGAGTTCAAAGTTCTACTGGTTTACAATCTGGGATGCCTTCCGTCTCTGGTCTAACCCAGAATTCTATACCTAATGTTGTTGGCCAGAATTCCAACATGCAAAACTTGTCTGGAATTTCACAGAACTCACTGGGGCAAGGGATATCTTCCAATATTTTTACTAATCAGCAGGGGCAAATGCAAGGAAGGCAACAGGTGCTACCACAACAGCAGCAGCAGCAGCAACTATACCATCAGCAGTTACAACACCAACTTTTAAAGCAAAAGATTCAACAAGGAAATATCCAGCCCTCACTTATGCAGTCTCACATGCCGCAACAGCAACAGCAAAACCTGTTACCATCTACTCAGTTGCAATCTTCCCAGCAATCTAGTATGCAAACATCATCTGTTATGCAGCCATCTGCCATGCAATCAACTCCTCTTACTGGTCTTCAAAAGAATCAACAATCTTCTCTACAACAGTCAGTCCTTAGACAGCAGCAACAGCCACAAGTGGCCACCAGTGCTGGTATTCTTCAACAACAAACAGCAATGACACAGCAGTCAATGATGCCTCAGCAGCAACAACAGCCTCCACAGCCACAGCAGCAGCCACACATAATGGGACAACAGACAAATGCTGCAAATATACAGCAGAATCAGTTAATTGGACAACAAAATAGCATTGCGGACATGCAGCAGCAGAGATTGCTAGGCCAGCCTAATAATCTTCCAAACCTGCAGCAGCAGCAGCAGCAGCAGCAGTTAATGGCTCAACAAAACCTCTCAAATATCCATCAGCAACAGTTGGGTCCACAAAGTAATATTTCAGGATTACAGCAACAGCAGCAGCAGCAACAACAATTGATTGGAACCCAGTCGGGTAACTCAAGCATGCAAACTCATCAGCAATCTTTACACATGCTACCTCAGCCTAAGGTTTCACTCCAACAAACGCAGCAGAGTGCACCTAATTTGTTAGCAACTCAAGGACAGACATCCCAGCAGCTGCAGCAGCAACAGCAACTGATGTCACAGATGCAATCACAGACTACTCCGCTGCAGCAACAATTGGGTTTGCAACAGCAGCCCAATCAATTACACCAAAATATGCAGCCTAGGCTTCAAGCATCAGGTCAAGTATCAAGTTCCTTGCTTCGATCACAAAATTTGATAGATCAGCAAAAGCAATTGTATCAATCACGCAGAGCTGTTCCAGAGACATCATCGAGTATGTTTTTGAATCTATGCAGTTGCTTATTTTGTTCTTTCTTTGTCTTTCTGATCGTGTTATTTGACTAATCTATGTAATTTTTTCCTCTGATACTTGCACATTTTATCCTTGAAGCCTGAAAAAAATCTATTCTCTCATATAGCTACTATAGTTGATGCTATTGTTTTGCTTTGCATTTCTATTACAGAAAATAATTTCCATTCCAACTTTGGGGGGATTAAGAGAATATCTTTTTGAACTTGTACTATGTTGTCCTATCAAAGCACATTTTGCCTGGATGCTTAGTCCATAGCTAACAAAGACAAATGCTACCAAAATTAATGGCACCCTTGCCTTCATAAGCTGATCATGGGCACTGCCTGGCTTTTTATGCCACCAGAAACATTGTTGTTACCCATGTCACTGCTAAGTCTCCACTGTTGTCACTGTGCTATTATGTTACTCTTAACACTCACTGCAGTTATTTTGCAATGGTTTTGTCAAACCACAAAGTAATGGCTGGATTTAATCTATTCATTTTATCAACAAATAATTGATGCTGTTTTATTCAATGAGTTTTCATGTTGGCTATAAAACATTCTTCTGGAAATAAGTAAACTGTGTTTTGTGTGCAAAGAGAAGTGACCATTTTGTTGGTTAAGTTCAAAAAGCAGAAACAAAATGCATAAACTCACTCATGCTCTTCATATTCATTTGAAATTTAGAATGGTGAGATATTTCTAGCAGTTTGTTTGATTTTGTCGGGTTGGTGAGATTCCTCTGTCCAACTTAAATATTGCTGTTCTTTCTGGTAATCTAGCTTTCAAAAATGTTCCTATTACTTAATTTAACATAAAATTAGGATTAGGAGATTGCAGTCCTGTTTGAGAACGGCTAGTTACTGTTTTTGCATCAAAATAGAGGGTAAACATGCTTGCAAATGTCAGAGGAATTTTGTTTGGATGAAGAATGCATAGTGAATGACTGGATAAGCAAGTGGGTGACAGTGAGCTGGTTCATGCATGCATGAAATGGTTAAAAGGGTGTCAAAACTCAAAATTGTCTTAGTGGTGTTTTGATTGAGTTTAACGGCTTTTATTGAAACATTAAATTTGTGCTGTAGATGTAATTAAGTTTTATATGAACCCTATATTCCTTGAGTCTAATTTGTGCCCTAAATTTTTTTAATACTTTAGTTTGACTCACCGTTATTTGCTTGAGATATTTATTTTTAATGAATAACAAGTGTGTAGCAGAAAATAGTTTAACTTTTTTTTAGGTCTTCCTTCTCATGATCACTTAAACTTATCTATCATTTACTCCTATTCCAACTGAGCTTCTTAGTTATAGATGACAAATGTATAGTTAGCTTTTAACTTGAGAAACTCTATAAGTAGCCTTGAAAAATAAGAGTGATGTTTGAACTTGGAGTTTGTCTCTATGTGTCACAATGGAAAGTCAAAATTAAAAAATTTTCTGCTTTTGTAAACGTGCATCTTAGAATATCCTAAAATTAAAAGGCATTGAAATTGGGATGTAGGGAGCATGTTTTTAATGAGTAACCTCTAAAACTTGGATATGCATGGTTAGTTGCAGAAACTAGCAATAAAATTTTCTCATATGTTAATGTCCAAAATGTTTAATGGTTTCTTCAAATGCCTTTCAGTTGTAACCCATGGTGGATCTGATGGAATTTTGGGACACAGGAATTGATTATTGGTTGTATTATGATCTCTGTCGATATCCCCATCAATGCTATGTGTACTTTAATTTGCTTTCAGAGTTGGTTGTTTTCTGCTCATAATATACCCTTCTTCCACAAATTATCTATTTCAGTGTTCTTTTACATATATGCAACAAAATCATGTACCTTCATGCGTATGGAACAATTTTCTTTCATTTAAATTATGTTTTCCTTGCTTATTCTTCTTCCTCCATAAATCTCCATTTTCTGATGTGTGCGCGGTTTATTTATCTTTTTTTGTTTTTAGCATCTTTAGATTCCACAGCTCAAACAGGACATGCAAATGGGGGTGATTGGCAAGAAGAGGTCTATCAGAAGGTAAAAACTATCTTGACTTATTCTCCTATAGATATTATTACAGTTTCAACTTGGTTTTAAGGAGGTTTTAGGTGTAGGAAAGTGGTTCTGAAAAAGAATAGAGTATGTTGGGATGCGTCTTATAGCAGGAACTATAAAATTGAAGAAGTAGGAGCTTAAAACATATTTGGTAAAAGAAATTTCTGATATTTTCTGAATTACTTATTACTTTGTTAATAAGAACTTGAATTCTTTTGGCTTGTTCTTAGAAGAAATAAAATAAAGCTTATTTAAATGCTTCAGCTCTCTACTAAAGATCTATTAAAATTGGTGAGCAAGAAACCTAAGACCAAGGTTATCTTGCATGCTTGACTTCAAAGTAATCATCATTTATGGATTCCTTTGTTTCTTCTGTTATTAACTAATATCAGTGCCCGCTATTCAGAAAGTGGAAAAATCTTGTTACTTTTCTAATAAATCATGGCACTTGGATAAATTGAGTGGTTTAATTGTTGGTTAAGCATTCTGTTCGTGATTTTATGTTGCAGATCAAGACCATGAAGGAGACATACTTACCTGAATTAAATGAGATGTACCAGAAAATTGCTGCCAAGTTGCAGCAGGTAGGTTTATTATTTTACATAATCATATATATTCATTCCCTAACCTCAAGGAGTGATAGAACCCATCTGCACCATAGTCTGCCACCCTGTATCTCTAAATAGCATTTAGAGAGGACTTTACTACTCCACATTAGGAAACTTTTGAACCCATACCACTTTTGGGTTGCTACTTGAATCCCTTTACCGTAGACACTGTTTAGTGGTTGCACTTATGCATATCTGGTGGAATAGTGGTTTGTAGTTTTACTTTCATCAGTTGAAAACAATTTTATGTGTGCTATTTTCCAGCATGATTCTCTTCCACAGCAGCCAAAGTCAGAGCAGCTTGAAAAGTTGAAAATGTTCAAGAGCATGTTGGAGCACATCATAGCTTTCTTATCAGTTACCAAAACCGGTATCTTACCCACTTTCAAGGATAAGTTGAGTTTGTATGAGAAGCGGATAATAAATTTTTTAAGTACCAATAGGCCAAGGAAGGCAGTCCCAGCACTGCAGCAAGGGCAGCTTCCTCCACCTCATATGCATTCCATGCCACAGCCTCAACCTCAAATTAATCAGACACAGTCTCATGATAATCAAATGAACCCTCAGCTGCAGTCAATGAATTTACAAGGTTCTGTTCCAACAATGCAGCCGAACAACATGACAAGTTTGCAGCATAATTCTGTGTCTTCTTTACCTGGGGTTGCAACAGCGCAGCAGACCCTGTTAAATTCAATGCAGCCCGGTTCCAATTTGGATGCAGGACAAGGTAATGCCCTAGGCTCAATGCAGCAGGCTGCTGCAGGACCTCTACAACAGAATCCTGTGAGTACCTCCCAACAGGCAAATCTTAACAATTTATCTTCACAAAGTGGGTTAAGTGTCCTGCCACAAAACATGAATCCTCTTCAGTCAAATCCCAACATGCTTCAGCACCCACATTTGAAACAACAGCAGGAACAGCAAATGTTGCAGTCACAAAAGTACAAACAACAGTTTCAACAGCGCCAGATGCAGCACCAATATATGCAGCAGAAGCAGCAGCAGCTACTGCAACACCAACAGCAACAACAGCAGCAGCAGCAGCAGCAGCAGGTGCACCAGCAAGCAAAGCAACAGCTGTCCACTCAATTGCAGACACACCAGATGCCACAGCTACATCAGATGAATGATGTGAATGATATGAGGCAGGGGATGGGAGTTAAGCCAGGTGTATTTCAGCAACATCTCTCTGCAGGCCAGCGTCAATCTTATACCCATCAACAGTTGAAACCAGGTGCTCAATATCCTATTTCTTCACCTCAGCTCCTTCAGGCTGCATCTCCTCAGATGCCTCAGCATTCATCCCCACAGGTTGATCAGCAAAGCCTGCTAACATCTATCTCAAAAACTGGAACCCCTTTGCAATCTGCAAGCTCACCTTTTGTTGTTCCTTCACCTTCAACTCCCTTGGCTCCATCACCTATGCCTGGGGAATCTGAAAAACCTGTTCCAGGCACTTCCTCTCTCTCAAATGTTGCTAACATTGGACATCAACAAGGAACTGGTGTTCAAGCTGGCTCCCAATCCCTTGCAATTGGCACTCCTGGGATATCAGCCTCACCTTTGCTTGCAGAGTTTACTGGTGTTGATGGAACTCATGCCAATGCTATGACAACTGTTTCTAGCAAGTCAAACATTACAGAGCAGCCTCTTGAACGTTTAATGAAGGCGGTTAGTGAAGCTTAATTCTTGACACTTCTTTCCCTCACTGTTGTGTTAATGTTGTTCACTTTCTTGAGAAGGCTTTTGAAGTTCTCCCTCCTTTTCTTCTTTTAAAAAGATTTTGGATTTGTTTAATTTTGATGTGCTGTAATTTCAGGTGAAATCCATGTCACCTATAGCATTGGGTGCATCTGTAAGTGACATTAGCTCAGTTGTCAGCATGACTGACAGGATAGCAGGGTCAGCGCCAGGTAATGGGTCTAGAGCTGCAGTTGGTGAGGATCTGGTTGCCATGACAAAGTGCCGTTTGCAAGCAAGAAATTTTATGACTCAAGATGGAATGAGTGGGACAAGGAAAATGAGGCGCTACACTAGTGCCATGCCCCTAACTGTTGCATCTTCTGCAGGCAGCATAAATGATAGTTTCAAACAGTTAACTGGTTCAGAGACATCTGACTTGGAGTCAACTGCAACATCTAGTGTCATGAGGCCAAGAATTGAGGTATTATTCTTTGCTCATGGTACATTTTTCAAAAATTTCGTCTGCTATGTTTTCGAGTAAGCCTCTTCCAGCACTTGGTGTTCATGGCTGAATTACTATGTACTGACTGTATGCCAATTTGAATGTCCATATGTCCATTTTAGAATTTCTGTTTTGGAATATTTTCTTTTAAGCACCTAAACCTCTTACTTTGTCTATATTTTCTTATTGTTATATTTATTTTTTTACCTTTGACATTAGAATCCATTAAACATCAATTTGATAAAATCTCGAAATTTTAACTTCAATAACCTTAAAGTCAAAGAATTTAGTTAAATTTGTGCATTCAAAAGAAAATGCTCAATTTGGAATGAAAGAGGTTGTTGAACTTTGTTGTTAGCGGCACGCAATTCTTTTGCAAAATTCTTGCATCACATACTTAATGTATTTACTTGACTGGATCATTTCACTGGTTAGCAATTGTTTAATGTGAGATTATATTGTTTTCCTGAAACTTTTATCCTTAGAGTGCTTATGAGTTTCATACTGGTTGACTATTATGTGCTTCATTAAATTTGTCAAGGTTTTAGACGACTTCTATTTAATAAGTTTAGTATTGCTAATCCTTCATTACTCTTGGGACTCACAACTGTATCAAACCTTTAGAGATAAAATCTTAACTTGAGGAAAACCACTATTGACTCATATGTGAGAATTGGGAAATAGTGCAGTTGCAGATCTTGAGGAGCGAAATCATTGATTCCATTCTTTAGGAATGAGTTTGTTCAAGTTGAACATAGTTGAAGTTTAAGAAGGAGATTGCTCATTGAAGCTATAAGGAAAGAATGTACGTATCTATACCATAATAAAAAGGACAAATTCCAAAAATGCAAATAGTGAACAACATATATACTCTTAACAATTTATTAAATTAACTACTTCGTCCCTAATGATTTTCCTAGTAAATTAAAATATTGATTAATTTTTATTTGTTTCCTTATTAACATATGAAATCTTTATTTATTAAACTTTCTTAATTTATAATTTATAATTAAATTAAAATATTTACTAATTATTTATTTGCATATTAAGTGTTAACATTGAATTAAAGTCAATTTTCCTTATTCTCGATTGATGGTTTTCTTATTAAGTTAAATATTTACTAATTTTTATCTATAATAAGTGTGGTAGATCATTCATTTAGGATTCAATGTCAATACGTAAACCTCAAAATTTCATGTAAAGATGAAAGAATTGAAAAATTAAAGAAACCCAGATTTTAAAGCAGATCCACCTGCATCAAAGACATAACTTGGTTGGTTGGAATGCATATAATCCAGATAAGCATCAACTATCGAGCCTAGTGAAGATGCTTCTGAATTCTGTTAGTGAAGCCTGTAATGAAACTGTTAGTTATGGATTCTATCAAATTGTGTCTAATCCTGGAAATTTATCAGCTAAATTCCTAGGTCCATTTTGACCTTCTAGCTTTATATGACATATGAAGTGATTGGAAATTCAATCTCTTATTTTTGTCCAAAGTCCACTAAATTTCTAGTTATGTCGTGCAGTGCATTGAATGTATGCAATATATTTTTCTATGACTGCCATTCTACTTTCTGATGGTCCATCGCTTTCGGTCTAAGAGAATCCTGGCATTTTGGTTTTTCACATTTCGATTTCTGCTTAGCAGTAAATAGAAGCCATCTGATGTGGACATGAGAAAATTTATTTATAATTTGGTGTTGTCTGAGATAGCAATTTGGAGTTTGCTTTTTGTAATTAGATATATAAAAATTACATGGGACCTATTGCAGGCTAATCATGCGCTTTTGGAAGAAATAAGGGAAATAAACCAACGACTTATAGACACAGTGGTTGATATCAGTGATGAAGATGTTGATCCAGGTGCGGTAGCAGCAACTACTGAAGGGGGTGAAGGAACCATTGTCAAGTGCTCTTTCAATGCTGTGGCTCTCAGTTCAAACTTGAAATCACAGTACATGTCAGCACAAATGGTAAGCTTTCTGGTCATGTAAAGGAAGTTATGTATTAACCTGAAGTATTATGAATTTCTATGCATTATCTCTGATTTGTTGCTATGCAGTCACCAATTCAGCCCTTGCGCTTGCTAGTCCCCACAAATTATCCAAATTGTTCCCCAATCCTATTAGACAAGTTTCCAGTTGAAGTCAGGTGAGAAGACATTGCATTTGAATCTCAACCCTCTCCTTTCTCTCCTTCCTCTTCTTTAAATAGGCTGGTATTCTGTTTAGAAACTGTTTGATCTCTTTTTGGAAATTATTGTGCATCATGTTTTTGTTGCATTTTTGCCCATCTTAATTTATTTTATTTGAATACAATTTCCAAAAGTAAAGAGTGCAAAGCAATAATCTTTTATGTTTGAATGAAAGTTTACTGGCCTGATGTTGATTTGAGGATGGAAAGAAGCTAGTGGAAGGATTAAACAATCTTATGGGTCTAATTGTAACTTTTATATATATTTAGGTTGTTTATACTATTAATTAGTATTTTACTTATTTTTCCAAGTAGTAGGGTTTAAGGGTTATATTTGATATTTTGCATTTCTACTAGGGTTTAATTCTTGGACTAGCTTCTTTCCATCCTCTTTCACTTATTGTGGGAAAAGGTTCAGTTTCTTGTTGTCATAACCTAAATCTGTTCATTGATTTAATTGGTGAGTGAGTCAATTTGACCGGTTAATTGGTGCAGTAACTTCAACTTCTATGGAAATTGTTAATTTGATATAACATCACCTTTATTTTAGGTTTTTCAATGTTCTAGGAGAAAATTTGTTAGCAGTTTTAGCATTTGGCTTTAGGGTTATGTTTCTACGCAAGATCAAGTTGGTTTGAGTCTAAATGCCTTTATTTGATATTTTCACTTGAAAATAATTTTTGGTCTCATATTCTGTCTCACAGTAAGGAGTACGAAGACCTTTCAGTGAAAGCAAAGTCAAGGTTTAGTATATCACTGCGGACCCTTTCACAGCCTATGTCACTTCGTGAGATAGCAAGGACTTGGGATGTGTGTGCCCGCGCTGTTCTTGCTGAGCATGCACAACAGAGTGGTGGAGGCAGCTTTAGTTCAAAATATGGAACTTGGGAGAACTGGTTGAGTGCTGCATAGCCATCTTTGCGGACTCAAATCAAAAGCGTAAACTTGAGTCGTTTTGATGATTAATGACGAGAATTTGCCACAGCTTCTATCTTGAGAACTGAATAAGTAGTTTTCGGATGCATTGATCGGCAATCAAGTCCATTCAAGGAAGCAGCCTCTGGTGATGTTTGTCAACTTAAGAAACCTCCCGAGGTTGGTGCATAACTTCTGTCATTAGATAATTATCCGTTGCTTGTATGGGTCGAAACATGAAGCATTGTGATCAACTTTGCCATATATTCTGTTTATAACCATGCTGCGTTGTGTTTGTTCTCTTTGGTTAATAAATTAAACGATGCAGAATCCTTAACAATAGTTTCATTTTGCACATTATTACTCAGTGACTCCCCAAATTACAACTCTTAAAATGGGCCTTCCTCCCCTTTCTGCTGATACTTCTGTATATAGTAACAGTCTTAGATAGTTAGGGAGGGACATTACCCTTATTCACGTAGGGAAAAAGGTTTCTTTTAATTAGTGGTTTGATTACCATTTTCAGTAGTATCATGTCATCTAATGTATTAGTATTCCATAATTTAAAACCATAACTTTAAGCTAAAGCAAATGATGACTTAGTATTGGAAAATTAAGATGATTTTTAAATTTTAATGTAATAAAAAATATACTTATCATTTCTTAATTCTGCATATAAAATTTAAAAACTTTGTCCAATTGTGTTAAAAACAAAATTTAATACTTCTATATGTGTTCTTTCCCCTCAAAGTTTCAGCCATTGATATAATCACATTCAATTGGATAACCACAAACAAATCGATGGTTTCCAAATTACTACACATCCGGACAGGCTGGCTATTGGTTATCACATTTAATCCATATAAAGGATATTTTTAATTTTTTTATTAAATAAATCAATCCATCCATATAATTGCCTTTAGTTAAAACCAAATAAGTAGAACAAATAACCTAGTGACATGGCATTTCACTCCTCAAAACCATCCTTGGCCAACCATGGTAAACTTTGGTCAAGGCCGGCACATAAGTTTAAAAAAAAAAACTCCCATCCAAATTTCACTCTCTAAGCTGATCACCTGTCGTCCGAGTGGCCCAATTGTTTTGCTGATTTTTGGCCACGTGTCCAATTTGCCTCCCAAGATCCATTAAAAACCGACTGTCAGGTATCGTCGGATTACAAATATAGCCGTTTTGCGAGATGCCCAATGTCCAAGAAAGTGACCCGGCCTCGACAACGACAACACAAACCACAATTTTTTTTATAATTACTAAACTATCCTCACTTCACTTTCTATTTTTACTTTTGCCATTTGTCTCATAAATATTATTTTAATTTTATTTTTTTATAGACTTTTATTTCATTTCATTTTATAGGTGTGCAAATGACTTAAGTTAATTTAGCTCAATATTTTGATTCAATAACTTATATTTTAGATGAATCTCCAATTGAATTCTAAAATAGACATGATGTGATTTATTATGTTAAGAGGATTATCTCTTATTATTTAACTCAATATCACACCAATAAAAAAAGATAAACAAAACCAAATTATTTTAATCTAACTCAATTGAAAATTACAAAAAATTCATGGAACCCATAGCATTTTAACTCAATTGAAGAAAAAAAATTTAAAACCTTCTGAGTTTGTGTTTGTCTTCCATGTGACAATTGTAGAAAGCAAAAAGGAAACATACTTGGGATTAGAATAGAGCATGCCATTAGTACATTGAAGAAAAAAGTAATTTTTGTATATTGGAAAACATAAAATAGTGATTTCGCAGCCAACTTTTTGTTCAATTTAAAGATAAACTACTTACCATATTGGTAGTTTTGGAAATTGGAGACAAAATTTTTGTTTCTTATATTCATTTAATTTGTTGTAATTCTAGTTAATTGGCATTGTTAAAAATATATAAATATATTTTAGAATTTGTTTTTGATACATTGACAATGTAATTTTTTAATTTTACAAATAAAATTAAAAAGTTATCGCACATCGTATTTTATTAATTATTTTTTTTTATTTTTAACGTACCCTATCATCTTACTAATCCTTTAATCCTATCAATGGATTTAAAAACTCAATAATATGAATGAGATAAATTTTTTATATTTTAATAATTACCTATGTTTATCCATTTTAAAAATATGAAAACTTATTTTTTTGCCATAAAAATGAAAACTTTTTAATTTCACTTGATAATATTTTAAATTTTTTGTGCATTAAAAATCAAATTAAAATTTTTGAGAAAAAAGTAAAAATCATCCTTGAGGGTAATTTGGTCCTTGAAGAAAAGCAAAGAGGGACAGAAAGTTGAAGTGGATTCTGACAGTCAACCAAAACGAAGAATTTCAGATACACTAATCTGTATACGTGGCAGTCTTTCATCGGCTCTCAACAAATGGCGCCAACAAAGTTGCCTCTCCGAATTTCACCAAAATTATCAAACGTCTCCTAACTTATAGCGCGTGCCTCACACCATCCAACTTTTGAAAATGAAATTGGACAACAATTAACAAGTGTGTATATCATAATAAAATTTATAATTGTAGTATACGTATAAAACCTAAATTTGAAAATAATTTATCAATTATTAATTACAATATTAATGAATTTGTAGATTTATTTATGTCATTTTTAATTATAAGTGTATATATCACTCTATCAGGACTTGAAAATTGTTTTATCAATCCCTTTTTTTAATTATTGTACGGAGAGATTATATTGATATGTTTTTTATTTAAATAATTAAATTATATTATGTAATTATATTTTAAAAAATTAATTATGCATTACAAATCATTTTAATTATTTTAATAAATTTGTATATTTGGTTTATAACAAATAATTAATTTTTTTAAAATAATATAATTAAATAATATGATTTAAAATAAATATATATATTGCCGTGAAAGAATTATTTTATATAATTTTTTCTTAATATATAAAATATTGAAATTCCACTTTTTATGAAGATTTACAAACTTCAATAATAATATTATCTTGAAATTAAACAATATTCAAAAAATATGTTGATAATATATTTTTTAATTTATTTAAGAATTCTTTCAATTAAAGAATATATTAGCTAATTTTTTTAATGATTATCATGTTCATATATTAGTGAAATAATATGAAAATTTATCTCATAAAATTTTAAGAGAACTTATCTACAACTTAAATTAAATTAAAAATATTGATTAAGAATGAATTTTTTTAGAAAGAATAAATATATTTTTTTACTAAAAATTTGAATTTTTATCAATAATAAATATTGAAGAGGTGGGAATTAATTCATTAGCTCAAGGCCTTTACTAGGCGGCGGTGTTTGACACTCTCCCAAAAAGAACGTGAACGCAGAAAACTTCACTTACCCCATAGAGCATTCCATCAGGATCCCCGAAGCGAAACCCTAACCCACGTCGCGTCGTCCCTTTCCCAACGGCCACTCCAAATACTAACGATACAAATCCACCCCCAAACTCCGTCATTAATTACGATCCGCCCACCCCTCCGCTATATATACTTCTTCTCGCTTCCCTATGGGTCTGCCAAACTTAGTCCAGAAAACACCCTTTATCTAGAAAAAAAAAAAAAAAGAGAAAATTAGTGGAAATGTCTTTACAATCATCCATCAGCAAATCTGACGGTTCACGGATCTCCACCCATCATCAATCATCACCATCGAATTGTGCCCACCCGTCTTCATCATCATCTTCTTCCGCATTCGCTTCGTCAAGCTCAAGCTTCACTTCAAGATCCTCCACCTTCTTTGCTCGTGCGACTTCCCCCACTCGCGTGAACCTTTACGGACGAAACTCTTCTTCACATTCATTGCCGTCCGTTCGGTTCTCCATCAACGATCCCTTGGTCTCTCCCAATCGTTCGATCTCCTACAACAGCAAGAACAATGCGGTGCCGTCTGGCGCCCACCACCAAAGGAATAGGACGTGTTTGTGTTCCCCTACGACGCACCCAGGGTCTTTCCGGTGTGCTCTCCATAAAGGACTGTCACTGTCGAGGAATCATCAGAATAATCGTCAACCAACTACGGCGTCATTCCACTCCGGTAGTCCGTTGAATTTGAGGAGATCGGCGATGAAGAATTCGTTGGTGAGAATCGGAGTGGAAGGAGAGCTGGTTAAGAGAGCGTTAACGGCTCTTATTAGGCCTTCTTCGCATCAGCAACGCCGCCGAGCCGCTATTGAGCAGAGACCCAGTCGTCTTTCGATTATGTCTAAAGCCGATTCTTGAACTGTTGGGGTTTTCTTTTTTATTGATGTTTGATCGGATCAGACGAGCCGGCTCAGTGAGTCGGTGCACAAGACTCAGGATGACTCGGATTTTGTTGTGGTTTTTATCACTGTTTTTGCTAGGAGATTTGAGGGAGGCAGACTTTTGTAAATATTTTGTTTGAGGAAATTGAATATATTTGAATTTTTTTTTTCTTTAGAATTTGTAAGACGATGAATTTAGTTACTAATTTTTTTAGTTTTTTTTATTAATTCTTTTTGGGAACGGATGATTTGTATATAGATTTTTGCCCCAAAATTCATTTTCTTGTAATTTTCACATTCTAATATGAGATTGAATTTTGTTGGTGAATTGTGGATTTGTGAAATGGTTATGGCATGTTTGGAATGATGAATTTGAAAGAATGGATTTTTATTTGATTTGCTTATATAAATTGGGAGAGTAAAATGAATATTTCAATCAAATTCAAAAATATCAAAATAACCAGATCTATTTCCATGTCTTTTATTTATATTTCAAACGAATTTCAAAACGCAACTTAATTGAATTTGGTAAATTTGTTTTTTGCTAGAATTTCATCAATTAAAATTATTGAATAATTGATTTAGGTGATAAAATAAATAAATTATTTTTTATTGTTTCGATTAAAATTTTTTTAAAATTTATGCAAAATAATTTTTATAAATATTATGTGAAATATTTTTTTATAAATTTATTAAATTTTGATTTGAAGTTGATGAAAAATTATATAAAATAATTTTATATAAATTTATTAAATTTAATATGGATAAAAGTGTTTAAATCAATCTTAAAAGAGGAATTCGGTAAAGATAAAAAATCCATTATTGCTTTAAAAAAACTAACATTAAACAAATATTTTATTCTCTAAAGACATTAAACAAATTTTTATTTAACAAAGAGTTATTCAAATTTAATTTATGAATTTTGAATATGAGTTATTTACACATATTATTGAATTGAATACTCTAATATGCTTTTATTATGGAATCATTGATATTATTGAATAAAAAGTTCATATATACAATTATTATTAAGTAGAATATTTATATACTTATTATTAAGTCGGATTCTAGAATTTAACTTATTAAATTTTGTATTTAATAATTAAATAATTAAATTATTGTTATAAAAAGTTTTTGTATTCAATAATTATTTTTATTAAATTAAAAAAATAATACATTAATTACAATTGTTTTTTCAAAATATAATCTTAGATCGTATCACTAACACTATTTAAAATTTTTTTTATTTAGTTCACGGAACACAAACCATGTCTGAAGGGAGGAGACAGGACATCATGACACGTTGAACATATTATATTTTTGGGTAACTGAGCTTTAAAATTCTACCATTTCTACTGTTAATTTTTTGGGTAACAGATTAATAATTATTTAATTATTATTTTAAAAAAATTAAGATTATATTAAAATATTGTTTTCATTCAATTTTACTGTTAATTTGTGGGTAACTGATTAAGTATTATTTAATTATTATTTTAGAAAAATTTTAAAATTATTGTAAATAATATTATTTTCATTCAATGCATTAAAAATTAAAAACAACACTAAAAGAGTGTTTTCATTTGACAAAAGTGAAAATTGTATTAAAAATATTTTAAAATAATAAGATCAGCATTCAATTTTAAATGGAGTATGAGGGATTTCAAAAGAATAAGATTATGGCTCAACAATTTTATTCACACCTGGCAAAAACCTTATTGAACAAAATTCAAAGGTGAAAATTTTCAATTCACAAGTCTATATCAACCATCATAAATGTTTGTATATTATTAAATTGATAGGGTTTTACCATGTTAAGACAGATAAATAATTTAAATAAATTTGTTGGGAGGAATTTTATTTTTTATTTCGAAATTAGATGCTAAAACTTATATAAAAAGAAATAAATTATGTGTTTAAAATTATTAATTTGACTTAAATTCCCATATCAAGTCAATTGTTTTAAATATTTAATTTATATATTATCTTGAGACAAATGAAATTCACCTTTTAGGATGAATTTACATGGAAAATATTGAAACTATTATTTGATCGAAACAAGTGATGTGCTCTTTAAGTAGGTTTTGCTTTTGTAAAAATTATAGTACGACCTAAAAAAAATTATATTTTTAATTAAAATTTCACAATTATTTTTTGCGATATTATGTGGAATTAACATTTCTAAAACTAAGATTTGAAAATTTTCAACTTAAGACTTTTTCAAATAGTATTTTTTAAAATTTAATTACACATCATATTACTATAATAAATAGCAATCAAAGTTGGTTTTGTTAGACAAAAAAATTGACAGTTATTATTAACTTTGAAAAGCGAGAAGCATTAGTTTTAATTCAAACATTAATTGGACAATGTATATCCAATTATTGATATATGTACGTGTCCATGCTTGTTTATTTCAAAATAATAATAATAATAATAATAATTTAGGTTGGGTTCGTTGGTCCTCTCCTAACTCTAAATTCTACGAAAAATATGTTTTAAAAAATTTATTTTATAAAATAATAAATTAAATTTATGTTATTCAAAAGAGTGTCTTATAACATAAATATAAGAATGTCAATAAATAAGATGCGTGAATGATAAAGTATTTTTTATTTTCATCTTGAATTTTTATATTATACTTATCTTTATACTTATATTTAATGATATTTCAAATCTATTATCTTCATTTTCATGAGTATTTAATGGATATAAATAATTTTCATATATGTAGCTTTAAAAAAATAAAAATAAAAAAATTAATTTTTTTAATTTTTATCTTGTGTAATTAAATAATTTTTTATAAATATATATTAATATATATTTTCAATAAAAATATATTAATTTTAATTAATTTAAAATAATTATTATTATTATTTAATAAAATTTATATTTACTGAATATATATAAATATATATAAGGTATCGATATAGGACAAGGGTCAACAATTTAATCCATCTTCGACGGGTTTCGACTCGACCCGACTTAACCCTACAAGGTCGATTTTTTTTTTTCAAAATTCAAGTTTTGAGTCGGGTCGAATTGGATAAGATTATGAAACAATCGGGGTCGGATTCGAGTTTTAGGCAAACCCAATCCGATCCGATATTATATAAAAAATTATTTTTTAATTAATTTTTTAATTTTTAATTTATATATATATTTATATAATGATATTTTTAAATATTTATATTTAAAAATAATATTTTATATTTAAAAAAAAAATATTTTATTAATTTCGAATCGGATCGGATTCGGGTATAGAAAACCAAAAAAATTTGGGTATGATCAAGTTCGGGTTTGATAATACATAAAGTTGGGTTGGATTTAGGGTGAACAAAACTTACCCGAACTCGATCCGATGTCAACTCTATATGAGACATATATATATTATCTATTTTTATCTCCTTAAATAGTAAAAATTTAAAATTATATTTATTCTCATATTTATATTGTAATATCTATCTCCATTAAAATAAAAAATTAAAATTTTCATTAGATATTGATAATATTGACATCCCTACATAAATATGTATTCGACATAAGTAGTATCAATTTTTTTTAATATTTTATATATTTGAAAAATCAAACTTTCATATTTATATCGATTGAGATTTATATGATACGAGAAAAGAAAATGAACAATATAACTTGCTTAAAACTAAACTACTTTGACAAGTTATCCAAAGCCTGTAGAGGGAGAGAGTCATCCGATAAAATCAGGTAAGAAGAACGAGTAAGAACGAGGGTCAGAGGTAGCAAAAGAAATTATGTAAGGTTATTTAATATGTCGATCGGTTGTTGAAGTTATAATACTGCAAACTGCAAAGCCTTTTTCATCGGGGAAGGTGGTTGGATGAGCAGTAGGCAGGGTGGCAGACACCATTATTAATTTAATTAAAAAAAAGGTCCACAATATTGCAGAAAATATGCAGCCAACACCATATCATTATGCTCAGATTTTGACGTAGAAGAAAAAATTAAGCACTAGTTTTTTATTTTCTTTTTTAATAATTAGGTAGAAGAAATATTCTTTATTTTTTATTTTACTTTTTTCTTACCAAATGTTATCTTTATTTTCTCGCTATTTTTTTTTCACTCTTCTCTGTCTATCTTTTCACCTTTTTAATTACCCTACCAAGCACACTCTTGGTTCTTACTTTCATGGAAATTATTAGAAAATTCTGAGATGACTTAGGTTAATTCCAATCACAAAAATTTTAATTTATAATGTATGATTAAAAATTACTGGAAATAACTTGTTGGATTTATAAATTTGATATTTTACTAGATAAAACCATAATAAAAATATATTTACAACTCTATTAAATTTATAATTGGTAAAAAATTCATAAAGTGGATTACCATTTCCTTAACCCTAAATTTGCTTACTAAAGTGGAATTTTATTCCAAATAGTAATAAAATCATTAAAAGACACTTCCTTAATAATTTGACTATTTTTAGGCATATATATATGTGATGCTCAAAGATTTGAATTAAAATTCGCCTATTTAAATAAAGATTATAAAAACCTAATCGAATATATTGAGAATAATCGTGGGCCTTTGGAAGAAGATACTATTTATAAGGCGCCCCTTATTACATTCAATAACTGTCGTCTTTTTCTTTCCTTTGTCTTTGGTTGGTATAAAAAACCAATGAGTTCAGTCCTTAAGGTAGGCAAATTTGATCGAAGGTTTTTTTTTTTCCCCATAAATTTATCTCTTTTTTTTTTTTTTGACATTTCATTAAATCCCCTATATGATTTTACTCTTTTTTTTTTTTTTTGCAATTGAAAGGAAGGTAGATCCCAACAAAATCAAAGTTGCAATTCAATTTCTTCAACATTGGCTTGTCATAGTACCCATTTGTCATGTATGTGTTTAAAGTGGCCAATATGTGTCAATTTCATGTTCACAAATTCATAGAAATATTTCAGAATCTTTACCCAATCTTCTTCACTTATCCAGTTTAGCAACCCTCTCAACCCTTAATCTAACCAGCTTTCTGACTTTCTAGGAAGTTTAGCATCAGGTTTAGTTTTTTTTTCCTTATGGATCACAGCATGGAAGGGCTATCTATAGTAACCAATAGACTCATCTTGTCTTCCCTTATCCATGGTTCATAGCAAAAATCTTCTCGAGCCACAAATCCAAAGTGGGTAATCCTGTCTCTATCAACCTTGTCAATAATATGCAGTCCAAACCAGACCAGGGGACAAGGATGTCCAATTACACAAATAACACTTGCTCGATAGAACTCAACATCTTAAGAAAAAGAAAAACCTAGGGGATCGAGAGCTGACGCTAAGGAAAATAAAAGGAAAAACAAGAAAAACATCAGAGTAAACCTCAAATGTTTTTCCTGTTTAGAGAGAAAAGCTCCCATTTTAGGGAGAGAATTATTGGGATTAGCGTGTGTTTTATCTGTTTAGTTGGATTTAGGGTTTACAGAGAAAAGCTATCAGATAGGCATGAAAATCATTGAGATTGTTACCCTCAAACATTTTCATGGGCCCAATGAGATATCTAATCACTATAACAAAACAAAAACAAAACCAAAATGGAAATCCATAGTACCACTCATTTTGTAAAGTTTCAATCTCTGTTAACTCGCACCAAGTGTCCTACTTCCTTTGGACCATCTCCGCATTCATTGTATTTATCCTTATATATATATATATATATATATATAAAGTTATATATCTGCGATTAATATATTTGTAAGACATGATTATTAATCATGCCATTTATGTTTTGCCGTGTTTGGATCTTTTAATTGACATATCAACTTCTTTTTTTTTTTTCATGTAATCAAAGTTTATTTAATAACATTTAATCTAATATTAATTTGTACTTTGACTATTCATGAATTTATGATATTTATAAACTTAATTAATTTTAGATAATTGTATTTTGTATTTCATGTCATTTAAAATTTTAAAAATAGATTTATATTTATTATTAATTAATTATGAATCAAATCCAAAATAAATGTATCTGAATAAATTTAATCATTCATAAATCTATGATATTTATAAATTTAATTAATTATAGACAGATGTAATTAGTATTTAACGTGATTTAAGTTTAACATATCAATTAAATAGTATGAATACACATGAATCAAATCTGATAACTCACCTGACTCAACAATACAAGTTACAATATCTTTAGATCTAAAGAATCTCAAACAAAAAAAGAAAAAAAGAGAATGAGGTAAATTATAAGTCAATAATAGACAATTTTTCCTTAATATAATACTTATTTGAACATCATTTCTTATATTATCAATTTAGAAATCATGATTTAATATTCTATTTTAACCTGTATTCTTACATTTTAATGTTAAAATAATTGGAAAAAATGTAGACATTATATATTTGAGAGGGATATATAAAATTTAAATACCGATAATCTCTAAAATTAAAAGTGCAAAAATTTTCCATTATTGATACATACATTCATCTCAAATATTATATGTATTATATTAATAAAAAAAATTCTCTCAAGGAAAGTTTTTTAAATTCAACATATACAAAACGAATGCTGGCATGCATTTTTTTTTTTAAGTTATATTCAAACAAGAAAATAATATATGACAATTTTTTAATAAAAAATTTTAATTACATTTATATAATTAAAAAATTTTATTTTGTTTGATCTTTTTTCAGTACTTTTTTTTTTATCAATTTAAACAAATTTATTTATGTGAGGCATACCCAATTCATAAGCCTGTGTACATGCATATTCATGAATATGAAATGGTTTTTAAAGAGAAATACTATTAAAAAACTATTAGTACTAATAAAATTCTACACGATGTGAAACTGTAATATTTTAACAGCTCCACCTGAAGATAGGTTGACTGTCCCAATTACCTCGAAACCCAAGAAAAAGCGGCACCGCCAGAAGGTAGCAATCGCAATAGCAAATGCCAAAACTGAAACTGAAAGCAGGGAGCAGGCCACCGTGGGTAGGCTTGGCAGCAGCAGTATGGGTTGAGATATCAGCAGGGAACGCCTACAATTTCCCACTCTATTCTTCTACTCTCAAATCAGTCTTGGGATTCAACCAGCAACAAATCACAATCTTGGGAGTGGCAAATGATATTGGAGAGAGTGTTGGAATACTCCCTGGTATTGCCTGTAACAAGTTTCCTCCTTGGGCTGTGCTTCTTGTTGGGGTCTTTGCCTGTTTCTTGGGATATGGTGTTATCTGGCTTGCTGTTAGCCAAACCATCAATGGTCTGCCTTACTGGGTGGTTAGTCATCACATTCACATCACAAGTTTGATAATTTCAACTATATGGATTTAAATTTGTATGTATTTTTTAAATTGATTGCATGGAACTAATTGTTGGTTGGTAAGGTGATGAAGGATTAAAACTGTTTTGTCTACCCAGTTGTTAATTTTTTTTATAATTTTGGACTTTTCACTTGATGGGTATCACCTGCTTTGGAATTTTGGTGATTGTTCCCCTAATTTCTCCTGAACTAGATTGTGGAGTTGGTTGGCTGGAACTCTTATTAGTGGTTTGGTTTTTTATATGCCTTTTTTTTTAATACCATTATTACTGAAATTTGTCCTATATCTGTTGGCAATTAGAGTCATCTAGTAGACAGCAACTAGTTGAGTCTATCTTTATGCAAATTGGGATTATTGTACATCATTATGTTAATTAATCTGAATTGGATTTGTTTTGCAAATTGCTTTTTCGTTGTTTTCTCCATAAGGTCTTCATGAGGATTGTTTGATCATAGTGATTCCATTAATTTTTATGAGTCTCTTGACAAGATTATCAACAACCAGAATCAAGTAACTCGTATTGTTCTAATGTTACAGCTTTAGAGAGTGCTAGTGATGTGATTATTGTATTGTTTTAAGTCACATAATGTTGGTGTTACAATTCTCTCATCTCGGTTGTTAGTCTCACCCCTTTCCTTTTACCTTTTCATTTTTGTGCTTTCTTCGGTGGAAAATTTTTCCAGATTTTCTACAGGAAACTCTTTTCATTTCATACCACGAGAGCATGTTGGGTCTCCCTTACCATCCAAAAAATAGATAGTATGGGTGGATGTAGAAGAGAAGTATTGCAAGAAGTTTACCTCGTTTAAGTTTTGACTTTAGATTCATGCCAATCTGGCACTCCTCTTTCCTTGTTATGTTGGTATTAGACTGTCAGTTGATCAGTTTCATTTTTGTTTGCTACGAGAGAAGTTTACTGATGTTCGTAGGTCTTAACTGAAACATTTCCAAACCTGTAATTAGTAAATTTTTTTCACTGGCTATCTCTCCATTCTCTTCATACTTTGATGCAGCAAAGAGTTAAAGTGCCCTGTTGTTGTTAGTGGGGAAGCGTCTCCTAGGTCATTTTGCCAAATGAGATTTAGGTTCCTTACTTTTTCCCAGTTTTTTTTGCAATGTGAAGAGATGTGAGGTTATTGATGGAAACTCCTAAGAAAATATCAATGACTACAAATTGCTAATGAAGGAAATTAAGTAACATCAGAATTTTTTTGCCTGCGACCTTTGTTTTCATGAGCTTCTCCCACTAGATAGTTTTGAAAAATAAGGCTGAATAGTTATTCATTTGTCTCTTTCTTTTTCTATTTTCTATTTCTACTTTTATATTTTATTTACTTACTACACCCATGTTCCATGCTATGGCAGTTATGGATTGCGCTTGTGGTTGCTTCTAATAGTAATGCTTGGTTTGGCACAGCAGTGCTAGTAACTAACATGAGGAATTTCCCTCTCAGTAGGGGTACCGTTGCTGGCATCCTCAAAGGTTATATTGGCATCAGTGCTGCTGTATATACCGTATTATACAGCTCACTGCTTGAACAGTCTGCTTCAAAACTACTGCTGTTCCTTACTCTTGGCATTCCAGTGATATGTTTGGCCCTGATGTACTTTATTCGCCCTTGCACCCCTGGAGACGACACTTCAGGTCATGTCCATTTTGTTTTCACCCAAGCTGCTAGCGTCTTGCTTGCTATCTATCTTCTCACACTAACAATAATATATGACACGGTCTCTCTAAGTGATGCTGTTTCGTATGTACTACTTGCCATTGTATTTATCTTCTTGCTTTCTCCTCTTGGAATTCCAATCAAGATGACACTTTCTCGAGCAAATGCAGAGACACTTACACCACTGGCAGGTTCAACAGAGCATTTGGCTCAGGGAGAAGGTGATTCAAGTCAAGCAGATCCTTTGTTGTCACCATCTTCATCAGCATCAAATCTTGGAAGTTTCTATGAAAGTGAATATGCCTCAGATATGGAAACTCTTCTAGCTGTTGGAGAGGGGGCAGTGAAGAAGAAAAGAAGACCCAGGAGGGGGGAGGAGTTCAAGTTTCGTGAAGCTTTTATCAAGGCTGATTTCTGGCTTCTTTGGGTTGTATATTTTCTTGGAGTTGGTTCTGGTGTTACCGTTCTCAATAACTTGGCTCAAATTGGAGTTGCTTTTGGTTTAGATGATACAACAATATTGCTCTCTCTTTTTAGCTTCTGCAATTTTGCTGGTCGTCTTGGCTCGGGTGCTCTTTCAGAACACTTTGTCAGGTTAGATCTCACTATAAAATTGCTGTCCAGCCTGTCTCCCATAACGTTTAGATGTAAATATTCTGTGTCTGTTTTTATGAGGCATTATTGTAAGCGTGAGTTTCTGGTCTTGCAGGACAAGAACCATTCCTCGAACATTGTGGATGACCTGCACTCTAATAGTTATGGTCTTAGCATTTGTTCTGTATGCATTAGCTCTCAGCGGTACTCTCTATGTTTCAACTGCTCTGCTTGGTGTCTGCTACGGCTTTCAATATTCTCTCATGGTTCCAACTGCATCTGAACTTTTCGGCTTGAAACATTTTGGTATCATTTATAACTTCATGCTGATGGGCAATCCTGTAGGTGCACTTCTTTTCTCAGGTCTGCTTGCTGGTTATGTTTATGATGCTGAAGCCGCAAAGCAAGGAAGTTCCACTTGCTTGGGCCCTGATTGCTTCAGGCTCACCTTCTTGGTTTTAGCCGGCATCTGTGGTCTAGGCAGCATCTTGAGCATATTTTTAACAATTAGAATACGACCAGTTTATCAGATGCTATATTCTTCTGGTTCATTTCGTCTTCCTCAAGCTTCAAACCACTGAAAATTGGAAATGATTATTCCCAGAATAAAAGTGATGGCATGCCTGTTTTATATTGGTTTGCTCCATGATTTTGCATTCCTGGCAATTCCCTGCATTAGCTAGGTGTTATCATATCTTCAGCAAATTTTGCTGCACTATTGAGTCTATCCCAAGTAGAGTTGTTTGTTGAGCTTAGTGCTCATATGTTTGGTATGACTCTATCAGTTCAATCCCTTCCACTGATCATATTCAGAGGGATTCACATACTAAAATCATTGTATTATCCTCCAGGAATGTTAGTTCCCATATATCATTGCATTATTATAAATTAATTAAAGATATATATATATATATATATATATTCCTATTGAACAGAATGATTTTTTTTGGCCAATAACAGAATGAAATTGATACAAATTAAAAGGAAATAAGAGAAGAAAAGAAAACAAACACATTTCCTTCTACATTTTTAGGATTCAAATACAATTTTGGGTGATCTGAAAGTGGGATATCTCTACTTTCACCCCCAGTAAACAATCATTTTAAATGTATAATACAATGCTTACTTCTTACTGCATATTTCCAGACCTAACAAATGGCTCATTTTCAGTCTTTACCAAAGAGACTGATTGCCAGTGCTTTTCATTTCTATTAAAGATAAAAAGTATAAAAAGCAGGGGAGACAATTTCATGACTGAAACAGGCTCCTTGGTGCCAAAGTCTGGCCTTCACATGACCCACCTCTAAAGAAAAAAAGATACTAGAATTACCAATTTCCTAAACACACGGAAGAAAATATCTGGTGGAAGAAACTTAAAAAAAAAAAGAGATTAGGAGAAATGTTTCATTAACGAAAAATAGATTTAAAAAACAAAAGCAAATGAAAACAACCTTCAAGTTGGTTTTAAATCTTGAAACATTGTATCCCACCTGATCTCTTCAAGAGCTGTTGACCAGTATCCATCTTCATCCCCATCCATTTTCTCCCTTCTGGTTGTCAAAAACCGTAGGACTTGAAAAGCTCGCAACTCTAGCAGGCCCTGAAACCACTAGAGGAGTCCCATTTGTGAGCAGCAGCCTCCCTTGTGTACCCGTCATCACCTTCTTGTTTCTCTTCAACATTGCACCTTTCCATTTACTACCATATCCTGGCCTACTCCTCGGATTGACAACAACAAGAGCTGACTGTTCGCGATGAACCCATGTCCCGATGAGCTTGGCTAAGCTCCTTTTTGTTCTCTTGATTGCCAACAGAAGCCTTGACACTGGTCTTGGAGTCACTCCTCTCTCCTTCCTAGCAAGCTTGAGAATTTCCAGCCTGTGTTTAGCTATTGATATGCCCATGCTTTGGAGAAACTCATGGTTGAAGTCAGCTATATCTTCTTCTTCAAGCTCATTATGGGAAAAAGCAAGGCCATACTCATAAACAAGTGTTGGCTCAAGGCCAGTTTTTGAGAGCCAAGAAAACCAATCCATGGCCTTTGATATGAGTGAGATATGAATGTCAGTGCCCTGAGATTCAAGGGTATATAAATAAAGGAGAGTCTAGAAACGGTAAAAAGAAAGGGAAGGGGCGGTGAAGTTGCTGATAGAGGAGACTTGAGACTTTTTTGTGGGGTTTGGGGTTTTTTTTTTTTTTTTTTTTGCTTTTGTAATTGAATTGTTGTTGTTAGTTGAATCTTGAGACGGACTAAAAAAAAAAAGGGTGGATGTGGGGTTCAGAAGGCCATTTTCTTTCAAAAAATAAGCAAGAATAGGCCAAAGTGTGATCAAACTCTTGTCAAGGAAAGTGACCAAAGGACACCTTGTCAAAAACTCCAAAAATGCATTGCCATCAATCACGGTATGGGAAAAGAGTAGTTTGTGGGGACAGTCAGTTCCTAGTTCTTTGTATGTAGTTGGAGGATCTGGGCTTGATTAAAATTCCATACTTTGAGATTGAGACCCCTTTGCAAAAAATAAAGGACTAGACGTTGGTTAGACCGAAAGCAACCCTATTCTATTCGGTGTTACCTACTGATTTCTTCAAAACTTTCCCTTATCTACTGTATAATTTTCTCAGATTTTGGTTACCTGAACCTTTGCAGTTGTGGTGATTGGACTCAAGGGTTGACTTTGAGTTCTAGTTGGTGCAACCATGGGATTAGATTTAGCTCTTGTTTGTAAGGAAGGAAGCTACCAAAAATATGGCTAGTACTGCATTATAATGTAGGAAAGGCTCTTCATATCTGATTGAGAGAATCTAACTTTACCTTTCTTTTTTCATAAAAAAGTTCATAATTTGAAAATAAAAAAGTGATTATAAGTACTAAAATTTTAATTTTAAATTTATTGTATATTATTTTAAAAATTTTAGGTAAATCTAACTTTACTTTGGCACTAAAGAAAACTGGGATATATAATAGGAGATAGTTTGACTTGATATTTAGTTACCTGTATTACGTGTTGTCAGCCATCACTAAGTATTAATAAGTAATTAACAGTTTATAATATCTGATTATTTTAAACTGTTGACATGTTGGTCCTAGAAAAATTACTGAGAAAATTTTAGAAAATTGTCTTCTGCTTTTTTAATCTCAAGATGCCAGTTACATGAATCCTGGCATGATAAATTCAATATATGAAAAATTCAAGAACATAACTTAGAATTATTGGGAAAATCCCTTAAAAATTCAACAATTCCAGGATATATCTATGCAATTATGCAAGTAATTTATTATATATAGCCTAATTAGAGATATATATCTGAATCTCCAATTAAATTTATTTTTTCTACTAATTGTTGTTTTAGAAACTATTTGACTTGAAATTATTATAATTGGCCCTGTTTACTGGGTGATGTCTAACCTGCAAATGCAACATAAAAATGGTCATTTCTTAAGTTGAACTCTTGACTTGCTCTTTGGCTCTTGTTTTACAAATAATAATTCCATTTCCATTTTTATAGTAAATTTATATCAATTATCTGTCAGCAGTCAACTGGCATCAATAATCTTGAAAAAAAAGAAATAAAATTATGACATAAATAATCAACTAATAACCCTTATTAAATCAATTTTTTAGGGTTTATAAATCATTAATTAACTGTATATAATCTGTGTGTCAAAAGAGGTGGACTACCGTCTATCTGTGTTTTATTTTAGCTTATCATTTAGTTAAATGCTGCCTAGCTCCATTTTACTTTTATATAAATACATTATAAAAAAATTTTCTGATAAAATTATTCTCTCTTAATCTTAATAATCCTTTCCGTTTGTTATTTGTATTTTGATAAATGATATGAACATCTGATCTGCTAATAAATTATGAAATTTTTAATTTTAATAATCACGATTAAATTCATGAAAACTTCAATAAAATAATTAAGAAATCAACTAATTTTTGCATTTTCTTTTTTTTTTTTAGTAAAGGACAAAAAAAAAATGGGAATCTATTGAAAAGTATAATTGGCAGAAATTGACTACTCAATCGATAAGATCTGATTAGGGTAAAAAGCAAGCTAAATTCGTAAATTACTGAGCATGATAAACTCTAGACAATCAAGCAATGACTTTAAAATATTACAACCTTAACCAACATAATTATCGTTCTAAGACGCCCAAAAACACGAAAACACAGCCGCCTCTATGTCTTGCTTATTTTGTTAATTTAAAAGTCATAAAAAGCAACATCCTCCGATTAAAAAGTAATATAGTAATTGTTGAAATATGGATATTGGCCAATTGGAGTCAAATTTACCGGCACATTCACATAGGCATTTTCTAACTCTTAATATGAGTTAAGTTAGAATTTTTTTTTTAAGGTATTTTTTTTTTATAGCATTCCTTTACTCGGCACCGCTTAAGTTAAAATTTTATTTTTAATAGTCTCACAAAAGTATTTCTAATAGGATTGACATTTGTGCATGATATATAAATAGACACGTATAATTGTGAAAATTAACAAGATGAGTTAATATTAATTGCTCTAATAAAAGTTTTCTTTTTTAGAAATTTTTTTGCCTAATTCTATGGTATCCACCCATAATTTTAGAAATTAAAATGTGAAAAATTGTGGATAACTCCAATAGTTGTTTCATGTCAATCATAAACCATTGACATTGTTTATGGTTAGCTTAAATATTTTTTATTATTAGTCTAAATTGATCTTGAAGATTAATATTAACATTGCAGTAAGTAATCCTAAATTTATTAATTTTTTATAATAATAATAATCTTAAAAACCATAAACAATTTAGAAAGAAATTAAAAACGAAAAATGGGGCAGCTACTTTAATATTAACATTTTGTGAGGGATATGTCTCTATCTAATATATTTTAAAATGATTTTAAGGTATATACTATTTCACATTAACTTTAATTGGCAAGAAAAAATAACTTTTCTCCTATCTAATTATTAGACTAATTTTTGTAGGTTTTGTCACAACATTTTACCTCTTAATGGCTTCAAACAGGAATTTGTGTCTGAAAATCCACTGTTGAATTTCTTTGTCTTGTGCCCCATATTCTCCTACACTTCACATGGCCCTGTCCATTAGACTTTTGAAATTGGAAGAATGAAAAGGTTCACATGTGCTTGTTGGTATATGGCAAAGTTTGTTCTTCCCTTGATCCCATGATTATTTTCTCTTTAGAATTTTTGATTCAAACAAATAAAAAGAGATTTGTGTTTTGTTTTTAATCTTATTTTTCACATGACTGAGTTTTGAGATCCAACAAGATCAGCTAGCAGCTCATGTTGCTAAATAGTGAAGGATCATGCAAATTGTAAAGTGCTAAACACCCACCATTTCAATATTATGATTCTAGTTTTTTTTATAGTTTAAAATGTGAGGTATTTTATATTAGATAAAAAGATTTAATTATTTATAAATAAAATTAATTTTTGTATTAATTTTATTCATATTTTAAATAATTATGTTTGAATAGAAACAATTATTATATAATAAATGTTCATAACTATTTGAATATAAATAGATTATTATTCATGAAGATCATAATTATATAGAAAGTCATAACTATCTGAATAGAAGTTTATGTCTGTTTATTCATTATAAATAAATCTTTCAGTATAACTATTTTCACTACTTTTGATTGGAGAGTTTGAGTTTTTATTGTATCTTAAATGGCATAATTACCTTTAAAAATGTGTTTTTCACGTCTCAAAATCAAAATTTTTTTCTATTATTTCTTTTCTCTTATTTATTTTTTATAATAATTTAAAGGCAATTATAAGAACTTTATATTTCACACAATAAAGATACAAGGAAAATAAATTGGCATGATTTGAATATCAATATTAGAGGGGGCTCAAGGTGTCAAAGGATTAATATTTTCATAAACCAAAATATTAATTTTCATAAAAATCTTTATTAGAGGTATATATTTTATTTTTTGTATAATTGCTGGTAAGAAAATTGACTAAATAAGATAAACATGTTAATAATTAATTTCATTAGTGTGTAAAGTCAAAATATAATATGCAAAATATTGATTACATAACATAAGTTTATGTATATTCTAAAATTAGCTCCACAATTAAATTTAATGAATTGTATTATATCTATTTAAAAAAATCGATGTTTATAAAGATTGAGATGAAAAATAGCCTGAAATCATAAAAGAGATAGACATGAATTGATTTACAATCAAAAGAATTATCACTTGTTATCAAGTAACGAGTTAAATTGGGTTCTAATGAAATAGCCAATTATTTAATTGTCATGTCTTAATTATATATAAAATAGGCAAATTGTCCCATGGTTTCTATGAAAGATAATTGGAAATGTGTAAAGAAATTTACCATAAAAAATTAGATGTAAGTAGAGAATATATACAAAAAATAAGATTTGGCTACAACATTAGTTTTATTTTTAAATCATGACACCAAAATTGAGATAATAAGTTAAGTCAATCTATTTGTATAGGTTTATATTTGTTGGTAATTTATAAATCAAAGGTTATATATTTTTTTTGAAATTTTGGATAGTGTTCAATTTTCATAAAAATTAATTAAAATTAAATTGATATATGTGAATAATTATTATTAAGATATGGTGTTGGATTAATTGATAGATAATAAACCAAATAATTGTTATTATCAGAAACATCGACAATGTAATATGTATTTTGCCTGCTTGGTGTATTACACTAGAAGTAATTTCACAAAATAAAATTTTATCGTAAACAATCACAAAGAAAAAGTTTAAGGTACAATTCAATTTGTGTTTGATGGTTAAAACAAGTAAGACAAATAAACTTAAAATTTTGGAATATAAATGTTCCTGTTGTATAACTATGATTAATGAAACTGACTTAGAAAATGTTGAGATTAAATAGATGTTTGTTAAAAAAGAAAATATCAAACTATTATAACTATGAGGTTTATAAAGGTTTGAATTTTGAAATATTATTCCCGTTAATGATAGCATTTATAAATTGTTTGAACTTATAATATAATAAGTTAATACAAGTTTATTATATGCAATAAAAATATAATTTCATGAAGAATTGTGGCTAGTGAGAATGTAAAATACATTAAGTATGTATATCTATGGCATCCCTATATTTTGTAAATTTTATGTTAGTATCACTAACAAAATTTTGGCCAA